TGGTGTCCCATATTTCCTAGATTTTTTGTGTTAGGGATTTGTTGGACTTAAGTTTTTATTTGGTTGATGAATTTATTTCTCCTAGTGTGTCTTCAACACCTGAGATTCTTTCTTCCTTTTCTTGTATTCTGTTGGTTATGCTTGCATCTGTAGTTCCTGATCGTTTAACCAGCTTTTCTTATTCCAGCATTCCCTCAGACTGTGCTTTTTTATTGTCTCTGTTTCTCAGCTTTCAAGCCTTGGACTGTCTGAATTGTTTCCTTCATTTTTTGATTTTTTTCTTGGCTTTCCTTGCTTTCTTTAAGAGATTTGTTTATTTCTTGCATTTTTGGTTTGTCTTTTTCCTCCATTTCTTGAATTTCTTGTTTGTTTTTTCTTCCATTTCTTTAAGGGATTTTCTCATTTCCTCTTTTAGGGTCTCTATAATCTTCATGAAGTTGTTTTTAAGGTCATTCTCTTCTGCCTCATCTGTGTTGGGATGTTAAGGTCTTGCTGGTGCAGAGTCCCTAGACTCTGGTGGTATCATATTGGTTTTTCTGTTGTTGAATGTGTTCTTATATTGTCGTTTTCCCATCCCTTTTTCCAGTGGGGGCAGGTGGGGTCTCTTCTTCTCCTGGTGGGTACGGGTCCAAGGTTCTCTTCCAGTGGGTGCAAGCAGGTCCAGTACTCCAAGGTTCTCATGGTGGGTGCAGGCAGATCTAAGACACTCCCTCTCTCGTTTGGTGTAGGCAGGACTAGCACCGTGATGTCAGCAGACTCGGGATATCTTGGTCTGCTAGGGACAAGTAGACCTGCCTACAGTCCTCAGGCCAGGAGATCCTAAAGAGGACTAGCAGAAGTCAGGCCTGAGACATGAGCCCACATTCACCTTTCCCTTGGCTGGGGTGGGAATAGCACCTCAATATCAGCAGACACTGCATGGCTTGATCCGCTGGGGGCAAGTTGACCTGCCTGTAGTCCCCAGGCCAGAAGATCCCCTTATGTGATTTCTTAGATTGCTCATAATAATGATGAAATCTCATGAACATGGGTTATTACCCATGTTTTAGTTTTGGTGACTACTTGAAAAAAAAAACAGTTAAACATTTTAAAAATACATCACATACCAAAAAAATCCCAGGATGGCCCTCTGAATCCTAGTTCAAAATAAGTTCTTATTGAATAATGACTGAAAAAATTGCTCAACATTAAATAATGGAAGGGTTCTTAAAAACAGGAAATATGCCATGGTATGGGCTGTTCTGGGCTGTCAATGCAGTGGTTCTCAACCTGTGGGTCCTGACCCCTTTGGGGTTCAAAGGACCCTTTCACAGGAATCACCTAAGACCTTCTGAAAATACAGATATTTACTTTATGATTCATAATGGTAGCAAACAAGTAGCAATGATAATTTTGTGGTTAGGATCAGCATCTGTGCTAATCTCTGCTGCCAAAGTGAGCATGGGAGAGTTTCTTATTTGAAGATTTTAGTGAGTGCCAGAAAGATAGCCCATATATTTTATACCAAAAGTAATTGAACGCAATTAGAAGGAAAAATTCTGCCGTTTTGTTGCTGTTATTTATTGAAGAATTGTAATCCATTAGATTCACTGTTTCAATGAAACTAAATATTAAAACAAATTTAGAAATGGAGTGGCTGAAATAAATATAAGTATTTCCATGTGTTTCTTTATCCTCATCAGGAATTAAGAAAGCCTCTATGACCATTCTAGCTTTGCTAAATCTTGGCTTTGAGATGTTGGTCCTAAGTGACCAATACCTTTTCCCATAAACTGTTTTATTATTTTATTTATGAAAATATTTTCTTTTACTTTTTAAAATATACCATTTCTTGTAGGATAGTCTAAAAGAGGTTAAAACCGCAGATTCAGATCCTGTGCTTTTAAGTAATTAGACCAGTGCTCAAGCTGCAATCTCTGCTTTCAGTCCTGATGGTTTCCAAACCGTATGGTACCCCTGTCCTCTGTGGACTGCAGCGCAGTCTTTCCTGTGCCCTTCCTCCACCTGGTACATCCCAGCAGTCCAGTGCAGGTATAGAGGCAGAGCAAAGGACATACAATCGTTTCCTTTTGTCTTTACTCTCTCCTTTTCAAATATATGTTTGCGGTCCACCAGGCATTAGGGATATATAAACACTACCTCGATTTAAAAGACTTTACAGTTTATTGGAGGAGTTAGCAAAGCCAGTAGACTGTTATATTTCAGTGTAACAAGTATAAGCACAAGAGAGTAATCACCGGATTCTCAAAGCAAGTGGAAGAAACCCTATTTGGTCCTGATGTATCAGAGTCACTTTATGTGATATCTAAGCCCACCACTTAAGATATTGATTTATCACGGACAATAAGAAGTACTGGCAATTACATTGTTCTTTTCTTGTTTATTTCTGGCACTGTGGTTTAAACCCAGAGTTTTGCACATGCTCAGCATGAGCTTTGCTTCTGAGCTGTACCCCCAGCTCCTATATGATTCTTAATGTAGTCCTTTGGACTAGCAATTGTTGGTTTCAGGACCGGAGAGATGAGTTGGCAGTTGAAAACACTTGCTTTTCTTGCAGGGAGCCCAGGCTCAGTTCCTAGCATGCACAAGGTGGCTCACAGTCATCCATAACTTCAGTTCCCAGGGAATACAATGCCCCGTTCTCTTCTGCCCTCTGTGGGCAGCAGGCACGCACGTGGTGCACAGACACAATGCAAGGAAAAGCGCTCATACACACAAGTGGATGGAAACGCTTTTCAAATCAACTTTTGTTTCTCTTGGACTAAATTTTACAACTCTCTCACAGATTTTTACTATACAGAGTGTGTTGTTTTGTTCACATGTTTTGCTTTATATTTATTTTTTGTGCTGATGGGGCTCAAAACCAGGGACTGACACACATTAACCAAATGATGTACCACTGAACTCTCTACCCCAGCCCCTTTTAAGACAATGTGTTTTGAGGTAATGTCTCACTAAGTTGCTCAAGCAAGCCTTGAACTTGTGCTTTTCCCAGCTTAGCCTCCATAGTAGCCAGATGTAGACCAGCACACTTATCACCTCATGGTTTTTTTCCAGTTTCTTCATTTTTTATTTAATTAAAATGTATTTACATAACTTCCCCTTCCCTTTTCTCAACAACATAACTGGGTTAAAATTAGCCATAAATAATACTGGAACAACTGGGTATATTTGATCTCGATTACATCGATTAGTACACTGACTGCCTTTTTTTAGGTTGTATCAGCCTTCCTGGAATAAGTCACCATAGGTTTTGCTGTCTAAAATTTAATTAACTTTTTAATGTGTTGCTGAAGTCTCTTCATATTTTCGTAGTGTCTTAAGCTTTTAGAGGACTATCTGACTGGTTGGGTTGGGAGTACTGTGGATGGGGTAAGTTAGACTAGTTGTATGAATTTCACTTAAAAACAAAGACTTCAGGTCAAAACAGTCTACCTTAATATTAAAAACTGAACTCCAAGCTTTCCTCGGGGTGAGCTTTGCTTATTATGCCTTATGGGTTTTTGTTCTTATACTTGTTTTATTTTGTTTGTCGATAAATAGACTTTTATTATGCTGAGTAGGTTGGTTTGTTCATATGTTTTGCTTTATATTTATTTTTGTGCTGATGGGGCTCAAAACCAGGGGCTGACACACATTAGGCAAATGATGTACCACTGAACTCTCTACCCCAGCCCCTTTTCTTCCATGCCTCTCACGACTCCCCTTTCAAATTCTTTACCTTTCTAATTAGTATATACATATACAGCTACACAGCTGTAGTTTGTATGTTTTTGTATGGCTGACCTTTTGGGATTGGATAAGATTAGGGTGCTTATCTCTGAGGAAGACTAATTCTCCCACTGTCAGTAATTTGTAATTACCTGTAAGTCTTCTTCTAGAGGTGGGACCACATTGGATTCCCCCCATCTACTTTGGCATGTCAGCTAGCATTGTCATTGTTCAGGTATTGTTTCAGCAGCCATATTGTTGACATTTCATGAGTATAACTCCCCTGCAAGACTCTTGCAGAAGTCTTCCGGGGTTCTTACAGTTTTTCTACAACAGTCCCTGAGCCTTAGGTGTAAAGATTGTATTGTCAATGTATCAGTTGGGACTGGGCTCCCCATAGTCAGTTGCCCTCTGAAGGTTCTTACAGTTTTTCTACAACAGTCCCTGAGCCTTAGGTGTAAAGATTATATTGTCAATGTATCAGTTGGGACTCTGAATTTTGACCAGTTGTTACATTTTGTAATAATCTTTGCTGTAAAAGAAGCTTCTTGGATGAGGATTGGAAGATACAGTGGGTATAAGGATAATTATACTTTGGTTAGGAGTTCTCCTAGTTTAGGGAGGTAACAGTAGTAAGTCCCCTGAACTGTATGACCTGAACTCTGAATTCTATGGCACAGCTTCCTTACAATTTCCCTGACCTCAGTAGCCACAGATTGTTGGCTAGGTTTTCAGGACCAGGCATGACTACTCTCCTGATGAGCAGACCTGAAGTCCAATTATATAACTGTTGGTTACAGCCAAGATATGTGTCACTATTGCACCTTCGGGATGGTCGTTCTTACAGTTCTTACACTGCGATGATCGTTCTTGTAGTTCACAGGTGTCGCATCTGATAGGACTGTTGAGCTTGCCTCCTTTGGCAGTATATGTAGCACCTCCTGGTATTGTGAAAGCTATATGAGAGAGAAGGCTTTAGGGTCAGATCCAGCTCTATTCCTTCAAGTCCTGTTTCCAAAGTGCATCGTATCTAAAGCAGTAGAAATTTAGACTGTGCATTTTTTGTGGTTCCTACCAAAATACACTATAAAATCAGTAAAGGAAATATTTTCACGCCTCAGTTCATCCATTTGTTCACTTTTAGCTAATCATTTTAAATCATTTTCCCATCTGGCCATACTTGAGATAATGGTGTGATGTTGTAATAGTTTGGATAAAGTAGTTGTTGTTTAAGGTGGTACTTTTGTGTATTGGCTTTTATCAATTTAAAGATATATTTTCTGTTATAGGGGCCAAGTTTAGAAAATATATTGGCCATTCAGCTCACGTAACTAATGTCAGATGGTCACATGATTATCAATGGGTTATTTCTATTGGTGGAGCTGATCACTCTGTCTTTCAGTGGAAATTCATTCCTGAAAGAAAATTAAAAGATGCCCTTCACATAGCACCCCAAGGTAAGCTTAAACAGCTTCCGCATTCATAGCTCCAAATTAATGATTTTGGCATTGAAACTTATTAATAGCAGAAATTTCCTGTTAAAAATGTGTATATCTTTAAAGCCAGTTGTCACAGAGTATGTCATATGAAGTATTTGGGTTGAAATTTAATTTGTCAAATGAGTGAAGCAATAGTTCTGTTAGCAAAATCAAAAACTAATCTTTCATCTCAGAGATATGGGTTCCTAGATTTTGTATATATATTTCTTAAAAATGTCAATTCACCTATTGTGTGTAGTATTTTTAATGCTGATTATAGGTTATATTCACTTGAATCTACATAGATATTTAAATTTGGTGTAGCCATCATTGGGGAGCCAGTGGAGGGGTTTAAAGGAGCTATTGAGTTTGCAGTGAGTGGACAGGAAGATAATCTGTAGTACAGTTTACTGACATGCATGTCCATTGAATAGGTAATTTCATTTTTTGTTTTATGGTTTGTTTTCATGTCAAGTTGGCAGAATCACCCCTTTATTATTAATTTTACATTGTTGTTTTGAAAGTGAAGTCTTTAAACAAATGATATTTCATTTTTTAAAAACTCACAGAAAGTCTGGCTGAGTCCAACAGTGATGAATCAGATTCAGATCTATCTGATGTTCCAGAACTGGACTCTGAGATTGAGCAAGAGACACAGCTTACTTACCACCGGCAGGTAATGCCCTGGTAGCCTATGATGTTGCCAGAAGTTCAGTTTCTTTGTCTTGATTTCTGCTACTTTTATCTATTGTGACTTTTTATGGCTTCAGCTTCTCCAGTAATGGATGGTTCTTTCATTTTCCCTCCGTTGAGCATGGCACACTTGTGTAAAATGTCCTTTTGTGTTATATGCTTGACGTACTAAGTAAGCCTGCATTCTGTTTGCTGGTAGAATTTTGTCACCATTGACCACCCCATTCCCTTTGAAGTGTTTCCTTATGAAGTATAAAAGTTCTTGGAATACTAAATTTTACAAAGTATTTTCTTACCAGTATCTGAAAGTTATTTGAGTATATGAGCATCTTAATTAATACCTACCTTAATCGTGTTCCTATGTATATACATTTTCAAGGTTTACAAAGAAGATCTACCTCAGCTTAAAGAACAATGCAAAGAAAAACAGAAAAGTGCTACTTCTAAACGAAGAGAATGTGCTCCAGGAAATAGTATTCGATTACACTTCATTCATGGGTATAAAATACTATTTTTCACTTGTGTGTTTGAATTTGAGTTTGTACTTAATAGCTTGGCAAGTCACCCCACCTTGCTATGCCTTTGTTTCCCTATCTTCAAACTGGTGCCTGACTAAAAGCGTTGCAATGGGGAATAAATAAGCGGTGCCAGTGATGATGGACAACATAATCTGTCACACAGTGAGCCACTGTGAAAGGCTTGATTAAATTTCTAAAATACTGTCTCTTAAAGCTTGATACTACAGCCGGGCGGTGGTGGCGCACGCCTTTAATCCCAGCACTCGGGAGGCAGAGGCAGGCGGATCTCTGTGAGTTCGAGGCCAGCCTGGTCTACAGAGTGAGTTCCAGGACAGCCTCCAAAGCCACAGAGAAACCCTGTCTCGAAAAACCAAAAAAATAAAAAATAAAAAAAAGTTTGATACTACATTCATAGAAGTGGGCATGACACCTTTAAAACTGAAGGAGGTAATTATCTCTCCTACAATGTGACTAAATTGGAATTTGAGTCCCTTTTTGCTGGCATGTTTAGGATTTGGTGTTTAGCTAGTTGTTCTTAGTTTCTGGCATCACTTGGAGGCCTCACATTTCAGCTCCACAGCAATACATTTTTACTCTGGGCAAGCGTGTATTTTTCTCACCAGATTGGTAACACTTTTTTGAAAAGAATTTATACATGAAAAGTATTTTTAGGGATATAGAGGTTACTCAGTGGTTAGGAAGGTTTGCTACTCTTCCATGGGACCTGAATTTTGTTCTCAGCACCTATGGCCTCCAAGGGCACCTACACACATGTGATAGATATGAATACCCATTCACATAAATAAAATAAATCTTTAAAAAAAGTATTTCCCTTCCAGTGTTAAAACAGATAATATTTTTGTTTGGTTGTGCTGAATGAATTGGACTGTCATTGATGGTATTGTATTAACCATTTTAATTAACCAATTAAAATATGCAAATATTTTATTGCTTAAAGTTACTGTTGGAACATGTATTACATTGTCACGGCTCAACAATGTGCATAACAAAGTTGTGTTTGAAACCTTCCTCTCATTTCTCCCCACCCCCACCCCAGGTGTCATTCCCTTCCCCTATAAATAATATTTACTTTTCGAAACATTTGAATATAAGTATGTATTCATTCCTTACCATATTGTGTATAAAGGGAAGTGGTTTTACTTCATAGAATACAAACTTAATAGTGTTTTTGCAAATACTAGAAGAATACAGAAATTTCTGTACTTGATTTCGTTCATTAACACCTTAGCCTAGCTTTAGCTATTTGTAGCAAAAGAGGCTCATAACAGTAGGTAGAGTCTAAGAGATTGGCATTTTCCTTAACTATCCAGTTCTTTTAAGACCCGAAATTAAATGATCTGAGTAATACCTACTTCCCTGTATGTTCTATTTCTCTGTGTGTTAAATATTGATCAGATGAAAGATTAAAATGCATTGTACATGATTTATTTTCTGCATTAGTTACAGAGGTTATGACTGTCGAAGTAATCTTTTCTACACTCAAATTGGTGAAATTGTGTACCATGTGGCAGCAGTGGGTGTCATATATAATAGACAACAGAACACGCAGCGTTTTTACCTGGGCCATGATGATGATATTCTATGTCTGGCTATTCATCCTTTGAAGGACTATGTGGCCACAGGCCAGGTAAGTCCCCTAAAAAGACCATGTGACAATAAGTCAGATAGGCAACCTTTTCAAAAACTTGTTTTTATGTGTATGGATGTCTTGCCTACATATATGTTTGTGCACATGTGCATGCAGTACCCATGGAGTCTAGAAAAGAGTAAAAGACACCCTGGAACTGGAATTACAGATGGTTGTGGGCCTCTGAATGGGTGCTGGGAATCACAGATGGGTGGGTCATTTGACAGAGCAGTCAGGGTTCTTAACTGTTGAGTTATCTTTCTAGCCCCCCCAAACCTGATTTTTTTTAGGCTGAGTGACTAAAGCAATATAAGTAATTACTTAACAAAATGCTGTATAACACAGAATGACCATGTCTTTTGTCTATCAATTGCCACCTGCCAGTGCCAAAGCACAGATTCTAAAATCTTGTAAGATAGCTTTTTTATGGGTATTCATAAAGAAGAGGGCAAAATGTTCTTACTGTATTTAAGAACTGTACTACCTTCTTAATGTTTATTTAGTTTACCTTCACCCCAACCTGTCAGTATTTAATAGCCAAGGAACCATGGAATGAAGTCTTTAAAAACGTGAGTTAAAATAAGTTGATTATCTCACATGTTTTGGCATAATGATAGAACACCAGCTATCATAGGTGCCTAGACCCCTAAAATGAGATGCCCCCAAGCACACTACTATAGTACTAAACATTTCTCAGCCAGACTGAATTTGGTGTTTGAATCTGAGTGCCTTTATTTATTATCTATAAGCAAATTCTAGATTCTCAGTGTGTCTGTTTCCTGCTTTTAAAATAAGGATGCTATTGGTGCCTAACTTAAGGAATTATAATGGTTGTTAAATAAGCCAGAATATGTGAGGGCTGTGGGGCAGTATCTGTCAGGTAAGTCATTTCTCAGTGAATGCTAGTCCATATCACCCATCATCACTTCAATGAGATGCCTGCAGTGATCAACAGCCAATTGAAAATGTAGGTCTTGAATGCAAGTATTTTTTTAAAAATCAGATGGGCTTGTGAGACATTTGCTAATTTAATAATGGAAACAGAAAATTATTTCAGATAAAAATGTAGAAAAAAGAACCTGGGCATTTACAGGGGGAATATTTATATTTAAATAACAGGTGGCAAAATTATGAAGAAAACCATGATAAAAAATGAAAGAAACGGGAGGATTAGGCAAATTTCGTGCTATAAAGCAATCAGAAGTACCAAAACTTGTAGAGGCCAGATAATGTATAAGAATCACTAATAATGTTTAGATGAATAACAGTGAAGCAGTGTCTGATTTAGTGCTGTCTTGTTATACTTTTGTATTAAAAAGTGTCAAAATTAAGTATAATTTATTTCTATCATTGTACTTTCAGGAGTTGCTTTTTATATAAAATATGCATTATACATTGTATGATATATGTATATATATGTATTATATGTATATATATATATATCTTTATAGTTATTATACAGTTCTAGATTACTTATGCCAGAGTGAGCATCATAACCAAGTGGGTTGGTCTCATGTCTGTTGCTATGGCAAAATGTCTGAAGTAAACAACTTCAGGCATTTCATTCAGAGGACAGATTTACCTTGCTTCTCAGCTTGGGAATTTCAGTGGTTATGTAGTTTTGTTGCCTTTGGGTCCATGGGGAGATGGCACATCACAGCAGGGGACACATGCTCTGCCATGCTGGCTGTGAAGCAGACGAATAGGAATGAGCCAAGTTGTAGTGTGCCCTTTGAGGTGATACTCACTCCAGGTAACTGAGCTACCTCCCACTAGGCTCTATGTCTTAAAGCTTCTACCACTCCAGATAGCAGCCGTGGACTGGAGATGAACTCTCATGAATATATTTGAAGGCCCTTCAGATCCAATCTATAGCACCAAATTAAAGATGAATGGGATGGGAAGAGTGGCGTTGGGTGGGTGAGTGGGTAAGAAAGTGTGTTTGAAGTTTCTTCAGTGAATAAGAAGAAGTAGAGTAACCTTTCGGAAGGAAGAACATTGGGAATCCAGAGAGGTAAAAGTTCAACTAGAGAATACAAGAAAGATAAACATAGGCATGCAAGTTCTAGAAAGTGAACCTTACTAGAAGAGTAAACAAATGACATTTGTTGAATTGGTTCTCCAGAAAGCTTCTAAGGTGAAGAGCTCAGTACACACTCTTCAATAACCCCAAATGTAAATGCTCTGAACCCTCCAAGTAAAAGATGGAGACTGAGTGGACTGTCACTGAATGGGAAGCTCGCCTTCTTGGCTCCAGTGGCTAGCCAGTGAATTCTTGAGATCTGCTATCTCTGCTCCTCAGTGCTGAGGTTACAGCCACAGACAATAGTACTGACTTTGTGTGTAGATCCTAGGGGTTCAGATTAGATCTTCAGATCCTCATGCTTGCAGAACTAATGTTCTTACTCACTGGACCATCTCTCCAGCCCCTAGAATCTAGATTTTACATTTATTTATGGTGTGTGTGTGTGTGTGTGTGTGCATTTGCACATGCACACATGGAGGTTAGAGGCAACTCACAGGAGTTGGTTCTTTCCTTCCATCATGTGGTTTCCAGGGATTGGACTCAGGTCATCAGGCTTAACACTGAACCATCTCACAGGTCCTCATAGTCTAGATTTTAAAAGGGGGTATGCAAATCAAAGGGTTACCTTCTGGGAAGAGCAGGGGAATTGGGAATGGAAGCAAGAGCCAGTAAGGGAAGGGTGACTGTGCTCACAAGTGCATTACATACATGTGAAGATGTCATCATCCCATTATTTTGAATAATATGCACCAATAAAAACATTCTATGATAGAAAAACAATGTCAGAGTGCTGTTGTCCATTTTAGTTTCATATGCATGCTTAGTGCTTTAACCCTTTCTTAATTTTTTATTATACCAGTATTCTAATCTAGACTATTCTTGCTTGTTTCTCTTCATCTAAAATATGCACTTTCTGAAGTCATAGCTCTATTATGTGTTATCTGTTTCACAAAGTCTTTTCCTGAAAGTTGTTTTATTCTCACAAGTATATAGTACCATGTGTTCTTAATGTCCTGTTTTTCTATGGAGTTTACAATAGTTACCTGAATGCCATAATACTCAAAGTGTGCCTATCACAGTACTCCTGTCAACAAATAGGTACTTAGTAATCACTATCTTTCTTGATGAACTATGGGAGGAGTAGGAGGAGTCATATGGAGTTCTGTAATATTCCCTGAGACACTGTACCCAGATTTATGACCTGCTTTTGTTTTGCCCAGGGTATTGAACCATGGGCTGCATATATCCTAAGCATGTGCTTATATCCATGAGCCACAACCTCAGTTCCCTTAACTAACATTTTAGACTGTTTTTACTTAATAAAATAATAGCTCATACCATGGCATGTTCGTTTTCACAAATTTGTATCATTTTCCTTGGTTATCTCTTCACTCTGCTCCTCTCAATCCCTCTTAGAGTTTGAAGAAATGTTAATGAAAAATACTCTTTTTTGTTTATATTCTTCTCTTTGTTTTTAACTTGATAAATTTCCATGACAAATAAAGGCTATATAAGTGTTTTATTTCCTTCTAACAGATATAAAAAGAATTGTTTACAATGGCTTTTATAATTATATCTTTACCAGGTAGGTAGAGATCCCTCAATTCACATATGGGACACAGAAACCATTAAACCATTGTCTATATTAAAGGGCTACCACCAGTATGGCGTCTGTGCAGTTGATTTCTCAGGTAAGACTCCTCTTACTTCTATATAGTGTTTAAATCAGTGTTACCTAAGCTTGCTATTTAGTTATGGCCTTCACAGTTTTTATCAAAGTGTGCATGCTGTTGTAATAAAACACAATGATTAAACTAGGTTTTCGGGCTTGTTTATAATTACAGCATAATGACTATAGCTATAAAGTCTTTCTAAAATGTCCGTGTTAATATCAGCATGAGAATGGCTTTGTGCAAAAATACCTTAAAACTATCACAGTTATTCTTGTGATGTGTACCTTCCCTTTGGGCAAATTTTGCTGTTAATCTTTTATACCTTTAAAGTAAACTTTGAAAATGTTTAGGGTGAATGAAATGTGAATGTTTTCTTGGTATCTCTATTGATTAGCAACTTCAGTGCATCTTAAGTTTATTTCATGCTATCAGTTTAGCAACTATAGATATACCTGCAGTGAAACCTGGTGTGTGGATTGAAGAAAACTTTTTATTGAAGAAGTGTATATTATGGTTTTGCTGCTTTAACCGAAGTCAGTTATCCATAAGTGAGAATTGAGGGAGTGGGGAACATATATACACATATATTTTCAAGAATACTAATAGTCAAGAAACAGGAAAATGTAAAGCAGACTGAGTGGATCACCAATAAAAACATCAGTGGTAGCACTGAACAACTAATTAAGGTTTGCAAAAATGAGGAAAAGTGGAAAAGGTTCTCTTACAGTTTGACTTACAGTCCATCAACACATGTGCTTCTGTCAGTATGTCATAATAGTCATGTGTTCCAATGTTTAATATAGTCATTATTTGTTGTTTGGTAACAGTGATGACTGAAACTTAACCACTAAAACTAGCCACGTTAGTGACAGTGCATTGTATCCGATGTTTTTCATTTTATGAATTTTTCATAGTCACTGAGTTTTTATGTCACAATAGAGTTAACAATGAATTTAATTAAAATAGATGTTTTATTTTCCTTTCTTATTTTCTTAACACAGACTTTGGTTTTATTTTTAATTGACTTATAATAATTATTTATATCAATAGGGTGTAGGGTGATTAATGTCTGTGATGTCAGCAATGGATCCTAAGACTTTACATAGACCAAACAAGTGCTCAACCATTGAGCTATATCCTCAGGCCCTAGTATAATGTTTTGATAAAGGCATATATTATATAATAATCACCTCACAGGATATTTAGGATATCCATTATTTTATACATTTACCACCCCCATCCCATGCCTTCTTCTCAACCTAATGAATACATAAAATAACTTAGGTCAAGTGTGATAATGATTAAAAAAACATTATCCCAGCTTGGAAGATGACTCTATTAGTAAAATTACTTGGGGTCTGAGCCTGTCAACCTGGGTTCAATCCCTAGAGCTCATATAAAGGTGGATGGAGAGAACCAACTTCATATAGTTGTCCTTTGACTTACACACACATACACACACACACACGCACACACACTAAAATTTAAGTAAAAAGAACCATTATACCCACTCTCCTCTAAATTCTGGTTCTTTTCATAGATGTATACATGCCTAACATTTATCATTACTTTTTCAAGTTGTAAATATAGTGCTTAACGTATTAGTCAATTTTTCTGTCGCTATAACAAAACACCTTAAGGTGACTACTACTAAAAACAGAGACCTGGCTAGCTTAGTTATGGAAACTGAAAATTTAAGTCATGTGGCTCTCTTGGCCTATTGGTTCTGCTTGTAGCAAGAGTCTCTTTGGCTGTGTCACAGTGTATCTATAGCATCCTGCTGGGAGTAGTGTAAAAGGAAGAGATAACAAGGTGAGTCAGGAAGCCAGGGAGTTTTTTTGTTTGTTTGTTTTGTTTTGTTTTGTTTTTCAAGACAAGATTTCTCTGTACTGTAGCCTTAGCTGTCCTGGCACTTCCCCTGGCCTGGAACTGACAGAGATCCGCCTGCCTCTGCCTCCCGAGTGCTGGGATTAAAGGTGTGCCCCACCACAGCCCAGCGAGATTTTTATTACAACAACCATTACAATAGAGCTAGCTCTTCCTGAGGGAGCTTTATACCTTTCTTAGGGCAGAGCACCCAGCAGTTTAATCCCCTCACACCAGGTCCATATCTTTTTTTTCCCCTTTTATTAAAATCAATTTTTATTTAAATTAGAAACTTTCTTATCAATCCCAGTTCCCTCTCACTCCCATTCTCCCATGCCCCCCACTGACTCCTGCATCTCATCCCCATTTACTCCCCAGGGAGGGTGATGCCTTCCATGGGGGATCATCAAAGTCTGTCATGTCATTTGGAAAGGGCCTAGGCCCTCTGCTGTGTATCTAGGCTGAGAGAGTATCCTTCCATGGGGAATGGACTTCCAAAGTCCATTTGTATACTAGGGATAAATACTGCTTCCACTGCAGAGGCCCCATAGACTGCCCAGGCCTCCTAACTGTCACCTGAGTTCAGGGCCAGGCCCATATCTTAACTGGTCTACCAGCTTACATCATCACACTGGGGGTCAAGAATCCAGCGTACAGGACATGAGGTGGAGGGCCTGTTGGAATGAGAACCTGTGGCTCTAGAAAACGCATTAATTAGATGGTTTTGACTTCAGAATCTCATCGTTTTGGTTTTCACAGCTGATGGGAAACGCCTGGCTTCAGTTGGAATAGATGACAGCCACACCATTGTACTGTGGGACTGGAAGAAAGGGGAGAAACTGTCAGTGGCAAGGTAGGGAGACCCCTTACCATGTTGGTAAAACACTAGTGTTACCATGTGCTTCACTTTTTTGAGGTCAAGCTAATATGTGAGATTTTCATGATTATCAGCTTTTATTACCTTTATTACCTTTAAATAAACATAATCAAGCTAAAAGATAAATGATTATTATTTTTTGTAGGTTTAACCCCTGTGAACCTTAATGTGCCTTAATAAGACATTGGAAATTACTATTTCAATTTACCATTACAAAGAGTGCATTCTACTAAAAGCTATTATATACCAGCTGGGAAACATGGTAAAATGCTCATATATTTAATTGAAAAACGACGTACATGTATCAAAAAAGAAATTGTATGTTGTTTTTCTAATATTTTTCTTCATTTCTGTCTTCTAAACTGAGCCTGATTTATTTTATGATAAAATACTAACAGTTCTTAAAATGGGAAGTAGTTAACAATGTCAGAAGCTACATTTTAAGTTTGTTACACCCTCAAAGGGAGATGGTAAAGTACTTAAAAATACGAATGCTTTTGCATAGTATAGAAATGATATCTAAGGACACAGTATTTTCAAAGGAACTTTGAGGGGTTGGTAAGATGGCTCAGTGTGTAAAGTCACCAAATAATCTTAGTTTGATCACCAGGGCCTACGTGGTGAAAGGGAGAAGTGATCCCTGTACACTGTCCTCTCACTCTGACACACATTCTGTGGTATGAACAACTCTCCCCCAAAATAAATAGATGTAATAAAAGGAATATTGAAGGGTGTGCTAAGTTGTAAGGAATTACTATTTTAAAATTTCTCTAACTCATTCATGTCATAGCCAGCTTTCCCTGGGCACAGTACAGCGGGTCTCATGGGTACTATCTAAATGAAGTTCTGTTTTCACTGTCCTACTGTCTGGAGAACCTGCTGAGCAGGGTTAACAATGCATAAATGTATAAACGAATGATTTCACAGCCTGAATGTGAGAGACCAGCAGGAAACAGCTGTCTAGTGGGTGGAGGGCTCTAGCTGGGATGTAGTTGTCTTGGGACGGATTCTCTGCAGAGCTAAAGCATCCTGGTTTATTTCAGAGGCAGTAAAGATAAGATTTTTGTTGTGAAGATGAATCCCTATGTGCCTGATAAACTAATTACAGCCGGGATTAAACACATGAAATTTTGGCGTAGAGCAGGTAAGAAAATGTTTCTTTAACTCCTTTAAAATGATAGAAAGCATTACCTTTCAAATAACCTAGCTGGACTGGATTGATATGCTGGACTGGATCCTAGGATAGAAAAGGACAATTTTTAGAAAATATGAAATATGAATAAGGCCTCATGTTCAGTTAATAATACTGTGTAAATAATGGTTTCTTAGTGTTGACAAAGGGATAATGATATTAAGGTGTTAGTATTTAGGGAAACTAGACAAAGGACTATGCCGAAGATGTAACTGTTATTTTACATCTTTCTATAAACCTAACATTATCCAAGATAGCCTTATGGGTGGGAGGGGGTCATAGGTCAGGGGTAGAATGTATTCCTCAAATTTCTCAGGTTCTGGTTTGATCCCCACCATCAAAAAGAAAAGGTTTCATATTTAAGGGATGCTCTTGTCTGGTTGCATTTTAAACAAAGATGATTTAACCTGTGGGATTAGTCAGTTGATGTACAGATTTCTCCCTTTTGTTAAAGACATGTTTTAGTCTAAACTAAAACTGAAAAATTTCACAAAAATGTCTTTTATGCTATAAAGTAATACAGAAACACTCTATTTCTTTGGTCATTTGTAACAAATATGAAATGAACTCATATTTTACCACAAAACTCCTTTTTTTCAAATAGGATAGTGTATTTATGTCAGCAATGTGGCACTGAAGTCTCAGTGAACTGAAACCTTCCAGAGAAGATACTTAAGTATGAGAAGTGAAACATCAGAAAACAACAAACTTTGGGATGACATTTCCCAAGTTCACCTGACTTCCAAGTTGTGAACTATATGGGGTGCGAACTCATGTTTCAGATTTGTATTGAATGCTGTACCAGAGACTCAGTCAATCATAGTACTACAGTTATAAAGTGAAATAGAATTTAGGATTTCATTCCTATAAATGTAAATAAGTTTTTCAAGTATCAATCACTTGGAATTGAAAATGCCTACTAACACTTGAGAACACACACACACACACACACGCACACACGCACACACCTACATGTTTGTTTTAAATAAGAGGTTTAAAGAAAGTAAATGCTGAGGGCCTGGAGAGATGGCTCAGTGGTTGAGAGCATTTGCTATTCTTCTGAGGACCAAAGTTTAATTCTGCTCATAGGTAGGGGATCCAGTGCCCTCCTCTGGACCTTATGGGTGCTGCATGCATGTGGTGCATAGGTATACATGCAGGCAAAATACACATACATATACATAAAAAAACTTGTCACAGACTCCCTTCAATTATAAAAAATTTTTAAAAGAATATTAGTGCATACCTTAAAATTGTAATTGAGTAACATTTTTCCTGAAGTTTTGTTAGACATCTCATAGCCTTGGATCAAACTCATAAATGGATAAATGATAAGGTTTGATACCCATTTTCAGTCTTCCATATTTTCGGAAGTCAGATACACAGAGTTCATTAGGCAAGTAAAAATAATTACTTGTTTTCTTTAAGTATTACCTAACCCCTTATGTACATAGTTTTAGGCAAATTATTAGTTGAAGGAATACCTTAAGCATGAGGTTAAACTGGATTCTCATGCTATTTTTTCCCCAGGTCTATACTTTTGTAACTGTGGACATGTTTTTTTTTAATGAATCAGGGGGAGGATTAATTGGAAGAAAAGGCTACATAGGCACTCTGGGGAAAAATGACACAATGATGTGTGCAGTGTATGGATGGACTGAGGAGATGGCTTTTTCTGGAACATCCACAGGAGATGTGTGCATCTGGAGAGATGTCTTTCTTGTAAAAACAGTTAAAGCCCACGATGGGCCAGTGTTCAGTATGCACGCATTGGAGAAAGTAAGTAACCTAAGGTAATTTTAAGTTAAATACAGTTATCATGGAAGGAGTACTGCTTTTTACTTGGCTTGGCTACCCAACTGTAGTCTGTGTTTTTCCTTCTTTCCAAATCCCTAAGTATATGGAATAGGTATTCTGTTTAAAAACGTGTTTTAAATTTCATATAGTAGCACATACCTGTGACTCCAGCACTCAGAAGATGAATGGAGGAGGATCCTAAATTCAAGGTCATCTAGTTCAAGGATGCCTGAACTACATGAGACCCTATCTAAAAAAAAAAACAAAAATAAAAAAAATGAAAAGCTTTTGCTAGAAGTAGTGGCTCATGTGTATAATCTCAGCACTCAGGTGGATTGGAAGTTTGAGGCTAGCCTGGGCTATAAACAGAGACTCGCTTAAAAAAAAGGAAAGGAAAGGAAAAGAAGGGTTGCTGAGATGGCTCAGCATCAAAAATACTGCTCAGACCTGACAACCTATGTTCAGACCCTGGAACCCGTGGTGGAAAAAGAGAACCAACCCTCAGGAGTTGTCCTCTGACCTAGCCTTTCTAGGCTGTCTCTCATGCACACCCAAATTATTATTATGAAAGAAAGGAAAATAAAAGCTTGCTATATTACGCCCCTGCTATGCTTCAACATCACGCTAAGCGCTCTCTGTATAATCATGTCCTATTCAGTGCCATTGCTGTTCCTTCTTTTGCATGGTAAAGTGGGCTTTGGAAGGATGTGTGGCAGGTGCAGCTCATCACCCACTGGAGAAACTACTCTTTTGGCATCCTCTCCTATTATCCCTGTAAACATCTGTAGGTCTGTGTTGATGTTTGGGAGCTATAACAGATGCTAAGTCCCTGTTATTCAGAAGCTGTGACTTTCATCTACATTCTTTTCTCTATTGTTTTTCAGTGTAAAGCAGGGAATTGTTTCTGAGTGTTTTGGTCTTTACTAACTGGAACCCTTTGTTTTCATAGGGATTTGTAACCGGAGGAAAAGATGGTGTAGTAGCCCTTTGGGATGACTCCTTTGAAAGATGCCTCAAGACCTATGCTATAAAAAGGGCTGATTTAGCCCCAGGATCCAAAGGTGATTTCTTATTTAGCCTATCATTCAGAAAAAGACTTAATTATTCATCAATGTGATCGTCCACTGAGGTGAAGCACAAGCAATATATTTCCCTTCTTGATGTGCATCAGAATTAAATAGAACTTACTTAACATGATACCAGAGTCACCCTCCTCCTTTCTCTGATGCACTTGATGAAATACTAACTGTGACACTCAACGTTTAACTTTCATAGTTACCAGCATTCAGGAATCTGTTGTCAGGCTGCATTTTGAGTCCAGCTCCCAAGTCTGAAAACCTGAGAACCCACAAAGGAAGGAGAGACCTGTGCTGGCTTCCCCTCTAGCCATGCAGGTCTTTTGTTGTCTTTGTGTGCATGTGTATGTGTCTGTGCATTCCTTCCTTTCAGGGACTGTGCCACACTGTAGGCATGACACCAGATAATGCAGAAATATTAAGCTACACAAAATAGGGATGTCCTATGATATTTTATTGAGGGAGAAATCACTTGTGTGAGAAGACAAGAAAGCCGAGAACCAAAGGTCCGCATGCTGTTCTCTGGGCCTCAACCAGAACCCAAAGAGAAAACTCTCCTCCCCCTAGCTCCTTTATTCCCTGTATGTTCTACATACTTGTGACCACACCCAAAAGGTGTGGTCAGTCCTCAGGGTACATAGATCTCTCCCTATACCACACTCCCTCTGATCTTGAGGCCTTTTCTGCAAGCTTTTGCTTGCTCCCAGAGTCTGTTCTTCCCTCCAGTGACAACCATGTGCTCACTATTCAGATCTCAAACAGGATTTATTCTAGATGAATTCACCCTCACTTCCCACTTTAGGAAGTTTAGTTGCCTTCTTAAAGTCTGCCTTTCTAATAACCTCCTCACACAAGATCTGTTGCAAGAGTTAGGTCTGCCATGCTTGCCAATATGTTACCGAGTCCTGAAGGTAGCTAGGACACACTGGATGAAGGGATATATCTTACACTGAATTGGAGTTCCTGGTTTGGATTTTATAAATGACCTTAAAGGGAACAGGAAGAAGGAGATTTGCTAATATATGAGGCAAAGAAGTGGTTATCAGAATGATTGTGTGGGATCTGGGTAGAATGCAGTTCTGTGTTGTTCCCTTATTCTGAGATTAACAAATTGAAAGAAGGAAACACAGTGCATCCTTAGAATTTATAAAATATAAAAAGAAACACAACTTCATAATGTGACTTTTACCTCCCAAATAGCATCAGTGGAAAATATACATTCTGGGATTAACTTCATGTCTACAAGAACTTTTTCCCTTTAACATTTCAGGTTTGCTCTTGGAAGATAACCCATCTATACGTGCCATATCATTAGGACATGGTCATATTTTAGTTGGCACAAAGAATGGTGAAATATTAGAAGTGGATAAAAGTGGCCCAATAACACTTCTGGTCCAGGTACTTTAAATACTGACGTGTACTTTTCTTCCTTTGCAGTTCATGCTTTCATTCAAAATTGACACTGGTGAAAATGATGCAAAATGAATTAGGGAAATTAGCTCAGTGACTAGACATAAGTAGTAAATGAATACACATGCTCTCATGCAGAATTATTGCCAATGCTTAAGTAAAACTTTATCACTAATTGTGAAATCAATGGAACAAAAGCTAGTTATAATTTATTTGACCCATGCTGGGCGTTGGTGGCACACGCCTTTAATTCCAGCACTCGGGAGGCAGAGACAGGTGGATCTTTGTGAGTTCGAGACCAGCCTGGTCTATAAGAGCTAGTTCCAGGACAGCCTCCAAAGCCACAGAGAAACCCTGTCTTGAAAAACCAAAAAAAATTTTTTATTTGACCCAGACATTCATTTTGTGTTTAATTTAACATAAGATATTTGTTTTCTGAAACTCTTTGGTTAAGTATGTCTTAAGTGTATGGCTTACAGAAGTGAAAAAGAGCATAACTATAAACTCAATGTTAATGAAAATATTTGTTAGTGAAAGAAGCTAGCAAGAATTCAGAAATAAACTTTCTAAAACAACTAAGTCTCACTGTGGTCTGCTGATCTGGAGCTTGTTGTGTAGACCAGACTGACCTCAAACTCATGGAGCTCCACTTGCCCCTGTGCCTGCTTCTGCCTCCTTTCTTAATGCAGACATATTTCTTTAATTCTCTGCTTCATTCTTAGCAGGACACCAAAGAGCATGCACAGAACACTGCTCATGCCTTATCTAGTGTACTTAGTGCTTTCTTGTTAATACCCTGTCGGCGAGACTGTAAAAGGCAAAACATGTACTAATGATAGCTTATTAATCTCACCTACGTAACATGTCTTTGAAATAAAAACACACTAAAGTCATTGTGAGGTTTCTGGGATGTGTGTGAGTGTGTGCATGTGTGTGTGTGTATGTATGTGTGTGTGTGTGTGTCTATGTAACTCTGACTAACCTTGCACTCATGATTTTCCCCCTTGGGTCATATACTACATGTCTGACTAGTCAGACAGTATTACTACAAATACTCTTAGATGTAAATACAGAAGAATTACTTTTTAAATGTTCATAGGAAAAGATTTAGAAATCATAAATAGTGTCTATTGAGATTTTAAAAATTGTGGGGTGGGGAGCTGAGAAGAGTTGGAGAGGGGATAAATGTCAAAATGCATTGTACATGTATATGGCATTTTCAAAGAGTAAATGAAAATACTACCGTAAAAGAGAGAGGAAAATTTTATAAAAATTTAGTAGACTTATTTGAGCACTAAAGTACTCATGCAGAGGACCACAGTCAAAATCAGAAGAGATCTGGGGAAATGTGCTTCAGTATAGGCAACAAGCTCTTGTCAGCTAGGTGCAAAAAACAGAGATCCATTTGGTTGGTTATGATTTTATTAAACCTTAGCTTGACATTATTGGCAGTTTGAGATGGTCACATTCTCTGATTGGAGCCTATTGGTGGCCTTTGTTTGGTAAAGTATTTGGTTTCATCTTAGTATTTATGTTAGCTTTCAGGTTACTTACATAATAACCTAAAGTATATATGTTGTCTTAAAGGCCTCAGTAAAATTGAATACATCTTTTTAAAAAATGGTGCTAGGTATTTAGGCCAGGGTCTTATGCACACTGAATATATACTGTACCACTGAGTCATATCCCAACCCATCTTACTAATTTTTTATATTGATTTTAATGTCTTCTTTGCTACTTGACATTGGGGTTCATGATAGCCTTGCCTTAGCCATTATTGTCTAAATGTATAGTAAATCCAGTGAAACAAATCAAGCAAAGGTTTAATTGTTGGAAATAAGTAAAAAAAAAGTAGTAATTTCGGATATAACAACTATATACCTTGTATATTGAGTTAATAAATTGAAAAATTATTAAAACTGATAGGCCTCTTGTAATATGAGTTTAAAACTGAACATAAATAAATTAGTTGTGTTTCTTTATATAGTAACAATATGAATAAAATATTACATAAAATATTATTCATAAAATAAAACTATATAGTAACCAGTATTTTATATTATTTTATTATTTTTACATGTATTCATTGATTGAGGCATGTGTGCAGAAGTCAGAGGACAACTAGGGGGAGTTAGTTCTCTTCTTCCATCATGGGATCTAGGAATCAAAATCAGATTGCCAGGCTTGGGTGCATGTGCCTTCATTGTCTGATCCTTCCCACTGGTTAGTCCAATAACCAGGATTTTTTTTTGGTTTTTCAAGACAGGGTTTCTCTGTATTGCTTTGGAACCTGTCCTGGAACTTGCTCTGTAGACCAGGCTAACCTCAAACTCACAGAGATCCGCCCGCCTCTGCCTCATGAGTGCTGGGATTAAAGGCATGCGCTACCAACACCTGGCAATAACCAGGAATTTTATAGCTAAAATATGAAAGACCTACACTAAGGAAATTATGAAATTTTAATAAATATATAGGAGATCTAAATAAATGATAAATTCTGTGTTATAAATCTGTGACAAGATTTTTTTTACAAAATCTGCTTTTTAAGAAGTACCTAGAAGAGAAAATAAGAATAAGGAAGAAAATGTTAAGACACTCTCCATAATAAAAATATAGAAAACACAAATTTATATTATCTAAAAAGTATGGGAGTGTGTATCCCTAACAGGATGTTAAAAGACAGCAGTGTTTGTAGCAGTGCTGTCTGTAGATCAGTCCGGGGATCTGTGCTAATGGGATCAAGTTCTCATGAACACAAAATAGTTCTTTAGTCACTACAATCTCTAAGTTACTATGAGCAAGGTTCTCTGGTTTTCACTGTACAGTCTTATTTTGCTAAACTTTTTCCTATTTTTAATGCTATTTTAAACAGGATTTTCTTATTTATTTCAGATTGTACTTTTCTAGTATATAGTGCAGTTGGTTTTGTATACATCCTGTAAATGGGAACTTAGGCCTATAGACTGCTAATTTCACTTATTAGTTCTAACAGTGTTGCAGTAGATTCTTTACCATTTTTTATGTACAAGATCATGCCACCTGTAAATAACTGATTCACTTCCTCATGTCAGTTCTGGTTGGCTGTTACTTCTTTTTCTTGGCTTGTTGCCCTGGCTAAAACTTCCAGTATAACACTGAATAAATGCAGTGAGAACAGATGTTATTGCTTTTGTTCCTGGTCTAAGGATAGCATTAAGTTTTCTACCTTTAAGTATGATGTTAACTGTAGAATACTGCCTCCCTCCCTCTCTCCCTCCCAACCTCCCTCCCACCCTCTGTTCCTTGCTAGTTCCCTTCCTCCTTTCCTTCCTTTCTTATTTTGAGACATAGTTTTGTATTGTAGGTTGTCCTGACTTGTCTGGAATTCACTATGTAGATTAAGCTGGCCTTGAATTTGCAGCTGTCCTCTTGCCTCAGATTCCTGGGTAATGGTAGTATGGGCTTGCAGGTTTTTCATAATGAAATTTTAGGTTTTTCATAAATGCTCTTTACTAAGATGAGGAATAATGATTTAATTTAATTTCTTTTTTTTCAGACAGGGCTTCTCTGTATTGTTTTAGATGCTGTTCTGGAACTCGATCTGTAGATCAGGCTGGCCTCAAACTCACAGAGATCTGCCTGCCTCTGCCTCCCGAGTGCTGGGATTAAAGGCATGTGCCACCGACACCCAGCTAATTTCTGATTTGTTGAGTGGTTTAAATCATGAGCCAAGAGGGATTTGTCGGATGCTTTTATGTGTCTATTAAGATGCTCATGGTGTATAATTTTCATTCTGTGACAGTAATTACATTGATTGATTTTGAGGTTTGACAACCTTCCTGGTTGCAGTGTATAATTGTTTTTACATGTGATGGATCCCATTTGCTAACATATCGTAGAAGATTTTAGTACTCCTGGTTAGAAAGGTTATTCCTTTGTATTTTTGTTAGCTATCAGGCTCTATAAAATGATTAGTGCCTCATGGTTTAAGAAGAAAGTAGAGGGAAAGAAAGCTTCTAATCTCTTCTTAAAGAAACTGACTTTATAGCAGAATACAGAAAACTATCATCTCTAAATGTGCTGTCAAGAACAGTAGAGGCTGTAATGAAAGAGAATTGGGAAGAGTTTGGTAAACTGGGATGGTATGCTAATAGAAAACACAGACCAATCAGTTTGCCCAGAGGTAAAATCTCAGTCAGGTCTCTGGAGTTGACTATAAGGACAAGAGAAGGCTTCTGGGTCTTGCAGGCTTTAGGAAGTAAATGCATATAGTACAAGAAGAGACAGTGATATCAGGTCTTCTTGAGTCCCAGAGGGGCTTCATTATTTTTTTTTTCATTTATCATTTTTTATTTTAATTTTAAATAGCTTGTTTTAGATGTCAATCCCAGTTCCCTCTCCCTACCCTCCTCCCGCACTCCTTTTCCCCCCATCCTCCCCCCCAATCCTTCCACATAGGGGATATCTAGAGTCTGTCATTTCACTCTGGGTAGGGTCCAGGCACTCCCCTAAGAGTCCAAGCTGAGAGAGCATCCCTCTGTGTGCTATAGGCACACGATGACTGTATTCCAGGGATAGACACTGATCCACAGCTCAGGGCCCCATAGGTTGCCCAGGCCTTCTCGCTGACACTCACATTTGGGGGGGGTCCAGATCAGTCCCATGCTGGCCTCTCCACTGTCGGTCTGGGGTCCAAGAGCTCTCCCCTGTTCAGATCTCTGCTGGTTTTGCCAGCCCATTCTTTGCCAATTTGCTCATCACTCCTCTCTCTCTGTCACTGAGTTCCTTGGGTTCAGTTCAGTGACTAATTGTGTGTTTGCCTCTGCTTCCATCAGTCACAGGATGAAGGCTCCCGGATGGTTATAGACCTCAAGTTCATTATCTGGAATGGGCATTCGAGGTGGTCTCTCCACCATTGCTTAGCTTGCCAATTGGTGTTCCTTTAGATCACTCGAGGTCACTCTGGTGCCTGATCTGTCTTCTATCCTATGATTCCCTCTTCCCCCTATTCTACCCCCACCCCCTCAACTTCCTGTTCCCCCATGACCAACTCTCTTCCTCTTCACCCCCTCTCTTCTTCCCAGCCCCCACTCCCCCCCCACCCCTCGCCGTGCTCCCCATCCATTCAGAGGATCTTGTCTCAGTCCTCTTCTCTTGGGTACTATGCATATATGTATATCTTTTAGGTTCTTTCCTGTTTCCCAGACTCTCTATCAGTGGAAGTGCAGACTGGCACTATCCTGATCCATGTCTAAAATCCATCCTTAGCCATCAGGGAAATACAAATCAAAACAACTCTGAGATACCATCTCACTCCTGTCAGAATGGCTAAAATCAAAAACACTGAAGACAATTTATGCTGGAGAGGATGTGGAGACAGGGGAACACTCCTCCACTGCTGGTGGGAGTGCCGACTCATACAGCCTCTTTGGAAATCAGTATGGAGATTCCTCAGGAAAATGGAAATTAATCTACCACTAGACCCAGCAATTCCACTCTTAGGCATATACCCAAATGAGGCAAATTCATACAACAAGGGCATCTGCTCCACTATGTTCATAGCAGCATTATTTGTAATAGCCAGAACCTGGAAGCAACCTAGATGCCCCTCAACTGAAGAGTGGATAGAGAAAATGTGGTACATTTACACAATGGAGTATTACTCCGCAGAAAAAAACAATGGAATCTTGAAATTCGCAGGTAAATGGATAGCACTGGAAGAAACCATCCTGAGTGAGGTAACCCAGTCGCAAAAAGACAAACATGGGGCTTCATTATTTTTGGTAGCACTGTACTCAAGATAGAGTTGACATCTGGAATAGGAACTGGGAGAAAAGCTTCCGGTAGTTAGCTGTGCACATCAAGCATGTATCCTCCAACAGGCAGCTGGGTCAGGATGAGAAACTGATACACTACCTAACCTGGGAAGCTGGCCCTCCAGCCAGGAGCTGGGGACAAAGCCAGGTGTTCTTGGTTGCAAGAGTCTGTGTTGGTTTCAGTGTGGATCAGTTGTGACCAGAAATAGGGACTGGAATCCAGTACATGTGCCATCACTATTTTGACCAAATTCCATCAGGTTTTCTTTAGTACATTTTCCTTCATTTCTTCTATTTTCTTGGAACCATGTCTGGGTTTTACTGAATTGGAATCTTTCAGTTCCACTTGTGAGCGGGTCTGTGGATGGCCTCATCTAATTCATTTATTTTCAGGTTACGCTAAGATGAACTGTGCTTTCTTTACAGGGACACATGGAAGGAGAGGTGTGGGGTTTGGCCACACATCCTTATCTGCCCATCTGCGCTACTGTTAGTGATGATAAGACCTTAAGAATATGGGATCTCTCTCCTAGTCATTGCATGTTGGCAGTCCGGAAACTGAAAAAGGGTAAGAGGTTCTCTGACTTGAGCAAAGATTAAGCTGTCACAATCTTCTGACATTCACAAACAGCCATAGAGTGTCTCTTATAAAAAATTGTTGGAAATTCTCTCATCTTCCTTGGCCGAAATACATGACATTACATGGTCAGGGTCATGGAAAGGTCCAAGGGAGGGTGATTTTATTCACTTTTTAACTTAACTTGTTGCTTAACCTCTCTTTAACAATATAATGCCAGTTGGAGGCAAGTATTGCACTCACTGGTCCAATAGTATGAGCTTACTTTGATAGTTTTGAATTCTAGTAATTGTTTCTGGAGCTCTTGGTGTAGATATAGATGGCATTATTCAGGTCCTACTGTTCTCTTTTGCTTTTTTTACAGTTCTCTAGTTTAACAGCATTGGACATATGTCTGAATTTACTTGGATCCTTCCTGCTTTATGCTTCCTGAGTTTGTGACCTTTTGTGTGTGTGTGTGTTAATGTTGAAAAATTGTCTGCCAGTGCTAGAGGCTCCTACTAGAAGTACTTCTTTGCATCAGGTTATAGGCAAAACACATACTTCTGTACTTTTGGGTTTAAATATTCTCACTTAGTTATGTTTATTTTATCCAGCGGTAGTTCAAGGGGGGAAGTTGCTTTTCCTAATTTGAAAGGGATATTGTGAACTTTTTCTTTTTTGAGACAAAATCTCACTATGTCTTATCCTAGCTGGCCTCAAACTCTGTATAGATCAGGCCAGCCTCAAATTCACAGAGATCTACCCGCTTCTGTCTCCTGAGTGCTGGGATTAAGGGTATGAGCCATAACATCTGGTGGTATTTGTGACAACTGGTTAAGTTAATATAATAAGAGTACTGGTGTCATGGTGGGTTAATTACGAGACAGTGATAGAAGTGGGACTCTCATAAGAAAAAATTTGAAAATTACTCAATTTTATAAAAATCAAAGAATAAATAGAAGTATAGATACACAATATGACTTAATGTTTATATTCTTAAAAGTCTGAGAAATGAATATATTCTGAATGATTACCAGCCCTTTGGAAAGTTCCCATTAACAGCTTCTTTTGTTAGTTTGCTATTGGCCACCTATAATATAGAAGTGGTATGATTTCAAGTTTTAGGCCAGTCTAGGCTGTACAATAAGACCCCATCTCAAAAACAAGTAACAAAACAGAAGCCCATATATCCTATAGTTTCAGTTTTTAATTATAATCAATTCTGAATTTTAATGGAATTTCTGTTTTTGGATTCTTGCTGTCATTCTATGTCTTTCTTCATTCCATGCCTTCGCTCTTTTTGTAGCACCATATCTCTGTAGATCTCTAGTGATGAACGGTCCTCCATCTATTATTAAATCTGTTAGCACATTTTAATCATTTTTTTTCTTCATCAAAGCCAGGAATCATGGGTTTGCCCAAGTGGAGGTCTCTGAAAATAATTTCTCAGGCTACCAAGGGTGACAGTGTAGAGCTTTGTCTCTCTGCCCCTGTTTCCAGGAACAAAATGGCATATACAATACCAGGCTTAAAAAGGTCTGGAAATTGGAAGGAGTATACATGAATAGGTGGCACAAATCTCTTCACACATTCTCGCTGCATAAAAATTTTTTTCAAGAGGAGCTAGTATGAAGCAGAGTTGCATTTTATTAAGAGATTTTAGTATGGCTTTAAGCACAGCGGTTAGGAGAAGGGCAATTGGGAAGAAAGAGACACTCAAGAGTGTGCTTGTGGACTTCTCGGAGAGATCACACTTCATTCTCTTTTCGGCAGTATACCATTTTGGAGAGTTTGGAGCTATTATGTACAAAGAGTTGCTAAGAACCTTCATAATCATAGGGACCCAACAGGATTACATCTATGAGGTAAACATTTAGGTCACATGGATGTAGAAAGGTAAAAGCAATAGTCTTGAGATCCCCAGAGGCATCTGGGAAAAGAGTAAAGCCTTATTTGAAGTCATATAGGCTTAGGCTTTAAACTCAGTTCATTGGTATTTTGACATTCTTATTTGAAAGTAGTTATAAATAAAAGAAACATCTATGTTGAAAATTTTTAGAGCAAATATTACCACTGTGTTGCTTCTTAGCTGGCAAGAAGCTTCAAGGAGACTCTGAGGTGAGGGAACCCTTTTCATTCTTACGATTCCATAATGCTCCCTGTTTTTTACATCCTGCTTCAAACCTGTGGGTCAGCCTGAGCCCACCTCTTCCTCTCTTCTGGTCTTAGAGGATGTTTTGTTCTGTCTATCCCTCCTGCCTCAGCTTCCTGAGTGCTGGTTATGCTGAGCCACCACATTCAGCAGAGAAGTTGAATTGGACATAGCTGTGCCAACTGTGCAGTGTCATCTAGGACTGTCGTACTGCTATAGCAAAGCTGACCCATTTTGATGGTTGCTTTGTGGCTTACAAACATGAAACTCTTTTTGTCCATCTTTGCTCTAGAGCAGTGGATCTTGACCTTCCTAATGCTGCGACCTTTAACACAGTTCCTCATGTTGTGGCAACCCCCAACCATAAACCTATTTTTGCTGCTATTTCATAACTGTAATTTTACTACTGTTATGAGTCATAATATAAATATCTGATATGCAGGCTATCTGATATGCAACTCATGTGAAAGGGTCATTTGGCCCAAAAGGGGTCACGACCCAAAGGTTGATAACCACTGCTCTAGACTGCTATATTTTGACCCAAGCTATGAGCCTAGTAAAAGACAACACGGGGTGGTTCTGCTAGTTCTTCAGAAAGATAAACATTTCTTTACAAGGCAGCTGCTCCAGGTCAGATTTATCAGGTACAGAGAGAAGCAAGCTATGTGTGTTGGCAAGGGAGTCATAGAATTATGTAGAAGTTTGAGATCTGGATCCTGTCAGAACCCAACCAAATGTGCACATTCACAATTTCAGAGTTTACTATTCAGTGCCCCAGTTTCCATAGAAGAAATGTGGTGAGGCTGTGTAGTTAAATTGACATTATAATTTATCCACAACGTTAAATTTGTGTTTAATGCTTATGGACCATTGGGTGTCAGGAATTCTTTTAAACTTGCTGTGGAAGCTTTAACGATCCCACCTAGTGTTGAACACTCACGACCTGAGCCGGTTACTTCTCTCTGTACATGATTCATGCATTTAGAATCTCTTGCACATCAGCTTTCCTGTAACCATCATTAGCACAGTGTTCATAGGCAGCAGCCCCAGGGTTCCCCGAGGCCTCAAGTAAACAGCATCACAGTCAGCAGCTGGAGATGAGTTGGCTAATTGTGGTGCTTGTGTGTGCCTTCAATTACTGGCATTTCATTTCCTGTTGACTGGGACTCAGACTGCTCAGTCCAAAGGGCACAAAGTGATAACTGCTAAGAGGCAGTTTATTACTAAAGGCATAATAGAGGACTCTGGAGGCTATAAAAGGAACAAGAGAAGAAAGCAGATGTACCTGTAGGGACAGTTGACAACGAAAAAGGAACGAGCATAAGGGAAGTAGTGGCCTCTCCAGGGTGAAATTCAGATCTCTTTCGAGGAGACGGCCTTGATGCCACTACACCCTGTGCCTCCTGCCAGTGGTAAAGGAGTTTTCCAGAATATGTGGACCATGGCTAGTCTGGGAAAGCTTCTACTTTCACAGTCATTCACAGCAACACCTCTATCCCTATAAATACATTTGCTGACCCCAGTGCTCTAGAAGAAAGAACCCAAGTCCCTTTCTTCATTTTGGGCCTTGCAGTTTCCCTGTGATGGTGGACCAGGGACTGCATTAGTGGGGAAGTAATTAGCAATAGAAAGAAGAGTGTATTGAATATATGGCAAAGATCAGCACACTGAGCAGTATAGAATGCTATTTGTAGTATAAGGCTGTGGGAAGATGTCTGTAGTTTAAAGTCCTCGTGTGGTTGCCTTGAGCTGATTTATGTTTCCTGGCATATAATTCATATCATGTAAAAGGAGGGCAGTCCACATTGGCTGCTATGCAGTGTTGCGATCATATGAGCTCCACTGTGCATGCAATTTCCAGTTGTGTAATTTCTGCCATGCAAATCATAGTCATGTAAATAAGAGCAGCTCTGACCAATCAAGTTGCATTCTTGTCCTAGTCTGGTTTCTATTACTGTGATAAAGACCATGACCAACAGCAACCTGGAGAGAAAGGGGTTTAGTTCTGCTCACAGCTGGGGTCCATCAAGAAAGATGGAGCAGGAACTGAAGCAAGATTCATGGAGGAGTACTGCTTACTGGCTTGCTCCTGCTGACTTCCTCACCCTGCTTTCTTACACACCTCAGAACTACCTGCCCAGGGCCAGCACCACCCACAGTGGGCTGGGCCCCCCACATCAGTCATCAGTCAAGAAAATGCCACACGGGCTTGCACACAGGCCATTCTGATGGCAGCATCTTCTCGGATGACTCTAGCTTGTGTCTAGTTGACAATCTAACCAACACAGTCTTAGTGAGAGGCTCAGGTCATAGGATAACAGGTTTCAGCTATGTTATCTCAAGTAGCAGTTTGGGATTCCTGCTTGTGGAAAGTGCCCAAAGGAGGTCACTGTGCCATCTGTGGAGTCTTGGGCTTTCCTGCCACAGTACTATTCTTGGCCAACATCAAGATAGCTGACAAAAGTAGCTACAGGATTCAGTTTAATATCATATAGCAGGGAAAAGAAGTATGGATTTGAAGTTGGCTGGTAATTAAACAAGTTCTATCCAGATTCATGTTTATAACCACCACCTGCACACTGCCATCTCCCCTGTTTGTAGCCCTAGCTTGTTCTCCCGAGAAGGGTTAATTATGTCAGATGCTTTCGTCATGTCTTCCACTGAGTTTCTTCTAGGCATCCTTAACTAAGGGGATAAATAACACATATACTCGTCTCAGTGAATGACATCACTTTTGATCTGGACCTTTGTCTTTTTCTCCTACTCCACACTCCTTACTCAGGTCCTGTCTCCATACTTGTCCATTTCTGTTCCTTCAACTGCTGTCACCTTGCTCTTAGTCATCACTGTCTCTTGATTCTCAAATTGCAGCAATCATTCCTAGATTTCTTCAATACCAATGTATGCTTGATCATTAGGTGATTACTTATTCCCAGTTCAGTCTGACTTTTCATTCTGTAACAGCTTCACCCTATCGCTCAGAATACATGCTAGTACCAAAAACTTTAGGGTTTTGCCTGTACTTGCCATATATCTTGCTGTTAGGATAAGCCCATTATTAACTCTTTATTTTATCAATGTAGCTCTGACCCCTTTTGAAATGAACAGTAACATCATTAATAATAAATAATATTAATATCACATACTTTCAAAACAGATCTTCATAGATTAAACTGTTAATTGTCTGGTGTCCTTTTTTAATTTTAAAGCACTTTACAAAGATAGCCTCATTTTTAAGATTCTGATTGAATAGATCATTCAAAGATAGCCCTTGCCTCCTGCTCCCACCCCCAAGCTTCACTTAGGTAATAGGCTTCTATTAGTCAAAAATTATCTTTCTTTTCGTCTCCTTTCTGTTAAACTAAATGACAGAATGTTTTTGTTAAGGTTAGAAGCTAGTTTGTCTTAACAGAATTTCTTGACTTCTTTGTATGTCGATTTGAGGCCATAATAAATACAGGTTCCTCTATATAACTTAAGGTCCTTAAAGCACATACTCTAAACATATATATGTAACAAGACATCCCCTGATGCTTTCCTTCTCTTTCAGGTGGGAGATGCTGCTGCTTTTCCCCCGATGGAAAAGCTTTAGCTGTAGGTCTCAATGATGGAAGCTTCTTAATGGCAAATGCAGACACTCTGGAGGATCTTGTGTCTTTTCACCACAGAAAAGATATTATTTCAGATATCCAGTTTTCACCTGGTGAGATTGCATTAAATGTATTTAATTACTAGCATCTGTCTGGCAGTGAGGAAATGTATCAACATGTAATAATTTTCTAATTTATTTTACCTCAGATCATAATACACAAAGTGTGTGTGTGTGTTTTCAGTTTGTAGTAGATGTGCATGTGTGGTGTGTATACTGATAGAGGACAGAGTTAGGAGTCCTGCTCAGTCATCATCCACTTTAGTCCTTTACTACCTGAAGCTAGACTACCTGGCAAGGTCAGCAGTACTGTTTCTATCCCTAGCAGTGTTGAGGTCACAGGGTGTGGTCATGCCCAGCTTTTACATGGGTGTGAAAATCTAAACTTAAATCCTTATGTTTTCATTGCAAGCACTGACCACCTTTCCAGCCCCAGAATTTTAACTTTTTGATTAGGCAGCAGGGTGAGGTGTAAAAGCCCTGTACTCGTCAGTGTAAACGCCTCGTTTAATCTTAATCCTTATGCCACTAGTGTTCCAAATGACTTGGGACCAGGACACTTTAGGTGGACTTTAGCTTTCATGTTTGTACTTTTTGATAGTTTATGTCCCCAGTTCCTTTGATTCATTGTCTGCTTCAGAGCTGACTACAGTATAGGAATTACTAATGACAAGACAAAATTTCTTATGTTGATTTAGGTCCTTCCACCCCTCTAAACTTAGCAGGATTGTTTTTGAAGGATTGATTGGATCATACATAACTCTTTAAAATTTGCTGTCCACTGATCTAATGTGTACACTTAGAAAGTTTGCTTCATTTTGTTATTAATGTTCTTGAAATATATTGTCATTTGATATCAACATTTATGTCTGATCATAATATTACTTATGAGACATTTAAGATTTTCTTGAAAAAATAAGCAAAGTTACCTCTAGTTGCAGAGTTAAAAACTCCTCCCACATAGTAGATCAGTATTTATCCCTGGCATACAAATGGACATTGGGCACCCATCCAACAATGAGAGATGCACTATCACCCTGGGCTCTTGGGGGAGGATCTAGGCCCTGTCCTGGATGAAATGACAGACTATGGACACCCCCATGGAGGGCCTGACCCTCCCTGGGGAAAGGAGTGGTAGTGTATGGGAGGGGTAGTGGAAGGGTGAAAAACTCCTCCCACAGGTAGGAAATGACAAGCGAACGTCTCTGTTGTAGGTTCTGGGAAATACCTGGCTGTGGCGTCCCATGACAGCTTTATAGACATATACAATGTGATGAGTAGTAAACGAGTGGGGGTATGCAAAGGAGCTACAAGCTACATAACCCACATCGACTGGGACACTAGAGGTGAGGCGTGACGTGACTCAACCAGTGTAAGGCCCTCATGTGCTCTAGTATACCTCTCTTCAACAGGCATGCCAGCCCAAGGTGAACGGACACTGGAGAGTTTAGACGGTTCAGTAGTTCTGCATCTAATGTCATTCAAATGAGAGTACAGTAGGCGCCAAGAAGTTAACTTTAAAGTATAAATTTGTTTTTAATGTCCTGATTTTTGTCAGGTAAAATTTTATACTTCTCAAATTTGGAAATAGAAATGCTAGTGAAGATTTTTAAAAGCACTTCTGCCATGATTTAATGTACTAGATGTTTTTGAAAACCATCATAATCTTAAGGCATACTATTTAATGAATACTTGTTTGCAGAATGCATAGCATATAACACTTTGAAAAGTTCAGACAAATGTTAAATATTTTCTTTCTGGTACCAATTTCTTTACTGATTATTTTGTTACTGTGATAAAATGCCATGACCAAGGCATCTTGCCTATATTTATTTGGGCTTACCTTTCCTGAGACAGAATCCACAATGGTAGGGGAGGCGTGGCAGCAGGGCGAAGCAGGAAGCTTGGAGAGTAGATTTCAGCAGCACAGAGGAGGCAAAGGAAGCAAGCGGGAAGTGGGGCGAGGCAAATGTCAAGTATTTTAAATGCCCTTAGTTAGTGGCTATCTCACATGCTTGGTTTTGCGAACTTCATATTGTGAGATTTCTCAGATATCCTTAAACCTTACTTTTACTTTTAAAAAAATTGGAAGGAATTTTAACCAAAATAATTGTTTCAAGTTTCTTTTTAATGTGAGTCCCCTGCCCTAATCTCAGCCTCTTGAATGGCACGAAATATAGGCCTCAAACTTAAGTTTCCTGTAAAAATGCAAAAAACCCACAAAGATCCATGCAAAAACTCCATTTCATAGGGAGTAAGAGACGGTTTACTCTGGATCACAGCCTAGGAACACAGGCTCAGGTTGCCCCAAATAATATGTTCCAAGGTAGTAACAGTTACATGAAGTTTTCATAATCACAAAGCAAGGAAAGTTACAAATCAAGACATTTTAAAAGTGCATTTGTGTTTAGTCCTGGTGGATGGATCTGTTTAAGGACTCAGATGCTGTTTGCAGACATTCATCTTTAGGTTGGTGGAAGCCAGGGTTCTGAGTATTCTAAAAGTGTTTACCTAGTTAATAGTCACAAGCATGCTGGGTCTCAGGCAGAGGGACTAAAGATAAACCATGATAATTTGTCTCCAGACCAGAACATTCCACTCTGAGAATTACATGAGCTCTGACCAACCTGTGAGATGTTTATCACGTGTTATGTTTTGTTTTTCGTTCTGGGGATCTCAGTTCCGGCTCATGATATTTGTATTTATATGTTTTTAATATGTCTGTAACTTTTAGATTTGTTTTCTTTTAAGGAAAGCTTTTACAGGTCAACACTGGTGCTAAAGAGCAACTATTCTTTGAAGCCCCCAGAGGAAAAAAACAAACCATCCCCAGTGTGGAGGTAGGATGATGGTGATGGTTGGAGTGCTGCTTATATGATTGACATTGGTTGGACAGTTGAGGCCTCCTTCCTGTCATCTAGCTACGTGTGATGACCATCCGTTCTCACATTGTTTGGATAGGTCTGTGGGCAGCTTTGTTTTAATGGGCTGCATAGATACCTATATGGGTAAAGGAAAGAGAGACTTTCTAAAAAAGAAGGAATCTGGACATGGTAGTGCACTCCTTTAATCCCAGCGCTAGGGAGGCAGAGGCAGATGGATCTCTATGTTCCGGAGGGTATGTTTGAGGGTGGCAGAGAGGGACAGAGGAGAGATAGGAAGGAAGGAAGGGAGGGAGAGAGGGAGGGAGGGAGGGAGGAAGGAAAATTATTCTCCGTTTTGTGTCTGATAATCTTACTAATTGGCATGACCTCGGAAGAGATGCTCAGCAAATTTAATGCGAAGGGGACTTGATAAAGAAAGCTGTCAGAATTCTTAGTTTCTGGACTGGTCAGAAAAATGTTTTTGATACATTAATGGAGACTTAGATGCGTAGTAAGCATTGTTTTTTGCTAATCTTCAGAAAGAACCAGTTTTACTTAATCACTGTTGCTCAGCAACTAGGGCACATAGTATGTATATAGCAAGTGTGTCCTGAATAATATTATGTTGAAATTCTCTGCAGCAGTAGGGCTGGGGAACTATGAAACCAACTAAGGATTTAGCAGTTTTCCTGTTATATCTCATACAATGACAGAGAAATGTTCATACTTGGCATATTAAGTAAGCATGTTACCCAGTGACAGAGAGGGAGGAGTGATGAACAAAGGGGTCAAGACTGGGCTGGTGAAACCCAGAGAAACAGCTGACCTGAACAAGGGGGAGATCTTGGATCCCAGACTGATGGCTGAGAGGCCAGCATGGGACTGATCCAGACCCCCTGATGTGGGTGTCAGTGAGGAGACCTAGGCAATCTATGGGGCATTGGGTAGTAGATCAGTATTTATCTCTGGCACACAAATGGACTTGGGGTGCCCATCCCACAATGAGGGATGCTCTCTCAATCTGAACACTTGGGGGAGGGCCTGGGACCTCCCCAGAACTAAATGACAGACTCTAGAGATCCCCCAGGGAGGGCCTTACTCTCCCTGGGGAATGGAGTGGGGATTGGGTGGGGGACTGGGAGGGGCTGATGGAAGGGAGTGGGTATGGAGGGAGGGAGAGGGAGCTGGGACTGGCATGGTAAGCAAGCTTGTTTCTAATTTAGATATATAATAAAAAAGGGCTTTAAAAAAAGAAAAAAATTTAAAAAGAAACTTACAGCATTTTTTTATACTTTTAGGTGGAAAAAATTAGTTGGGCATCATGGACAAGTGTACTTGGTTTATGTTGTGAGGGAATTTGGCCTATAATTGGAGAAGTCACAGACGTAACTGCCTCTTGTCTCACCAGTGACAAAATGGTCCTAGCCACAGGGGATGATTTGGGATTCGTGAAGCTGTTTAGATACCCAGCTAAAGTATGTGTTTTTCTTTAACTTATCTAATGACTATTATAATAAAATGGTGAAGATAATATCAATTTCATTGTTTTACTATTAATAATGCATAGGTAGTAAGTAATGTTATATCACCAGAGGTTTGGAATTGTGCTTCCTATTCTTGTCATCATATTTATATAAAATAAGTATTATAGTATACTAAACTGTGCCTTTCTTTGCATGTTATATATTGTACAGTGCCTTGTTTTATATGTCATATTGTATAGTGGTTTTCATTACTAAATATATAAATAGCTATTGCTCAGGATTCATTTTACCACTATTAAATAAATTTTGTAATTAATTATAAGTATAACCTAATTATATATCATTAGGGGTCAAAATAAGCTTTGTAAATGTAGGTTTTACATTAGAAAAGAAGGCAATTAAGCTAGGTGGTGGCACATGCCTTTAATCCCAGCACTTGGGAGGCAGAGGCAGGCAGATTTCTGTGAGTTCAAGGCCAGCCTGGTCTACTGAGTTAGTTCCAGGATAGCCAGGACTGTTACACAAAGAAACCCTGTCTCACCACTCCCCCAAAAAAGAAAAAAATGAGGCAATTAGATATTAAATATTTAAATAAAATTAAATAACACTGTTTGGTGTGATTATTTTTTTCTGAAACTAGATAGTATAAATTCTTTACACTGCTACATAACCTAGGCTGTGTTGTTTGATTGTTCAATTCATTTTTTTACTAACTTCTGTTCACATTACTGTTAAACATCAGGCCCTGCTTACTACAAAAATAAAACGTGTGTGTGTGTGTGTGTTTGTGTGTGTGTGTGTTTCTGTGTGAGATATATACATATGTATATATAGTACAAGTGAATTTATATACTAATTGTCATAAATTAAGTTATATATTGTAATCTAGCATCAATGTGAACATAAACAGAATTTGATGTGGAATGCTAAAATAATATCATGGTATTTTGTTCATGGAATCTCAGCTGCCCATATTAACATAGGTTTAAAACATCTTATTTGGAACTCAAGCACTCAAGTAAACATCCCAGACCTGGGCATGTTGATTCATAGTATAGAGCTTACCGAGCCTGTTGGATCCCTACTGAGAAGGGAGGAGAGGAAAGGGAGAGCCACTGTAGCAAGAACCACACAGTCTCTCTCTCTCTCTCTCTCTCTCTCTCTCTCTCTCTCTCTCTCTCTCTCTCTCTCTCTCTCTCTCTCTTTTTACGAGACAGGGTTTCTCTGTATTGTTTTGGAGGCTGTCGGTCCAGCCTGGCCTCGAACTCACAGAGATCCACCTGCCTCTGCCTCCCGAGTGCTGGGATTAAAGGCGTGCACCAAAGAACCACACAGTCTTAGGGAAACTCTGTGCTTTGAAGACAAGATCCCTCCTCCTTAACTTAAAAAAAATGTCCTTACTAACATTTATTTGTGGGGAGCAGCATATGTGCCTCATGACCTGCATACATACGGAAGCCAAGGACAAATTGGAGAGTCACTTCTCTCCTTCCTCCAAATGGTTCTGAGAATTAGACTCCAGGTAGTGGGCTTGGCGGCGAATTCCTTTACCAGCTCAGTCTTCTCAGGAGCCCTCTAATTTTCATTGTTTCTCCCCCTCAGAGAACTCACTGGTTTTGTTACTCACTATGTTTTACTTACTTTAAAAAAGGTTTTCATGTTTTTTTGTTTTGTTTTGCTTGCTTATTTGGATGTGGGGCGTGTATGTACACATGGACGTATGTGTGTGACCACCTGTGTGCCATGGCACAGAGGATACCTGCTGAGGTTGGTTCTCTCCTTCTCCAGTATGGCTTCTCGAGGTCACACTCCTCATATCATAAGACTTGGCAGCAAGCACCTTTCCCTGCTGAACCATCTCCCTGACCCCTATGCTTGATTACTTAAGAAATTTTATTTTGACAACTTTGTAAAGATGTTCACTTAAAACCTGCTTATAGTTTATTAATCTCAAATTTACTTACAAAACTTATCTTTCCTGGGTCTATAACTTACGGTTCTCTTGGTATTTAAAGAGAAATATACTTCTGGAGAATGTAGTTCTATAGTAGAGTGTCTATTGCCTACTTAGCAGCTGTGGAACACCAAAGAAACTATGTGTATGTAGTACTTATCAAAGAAAGCACAGTGAACTGAAGTGAAATACACACACACACACACACACACACACATACACACACACACACACACACAACTTTAAAAACAAAAGTTTCTTTGCTAGAATTAAAATTTGGCCAGGCAGAGGTAACTCATGCTTTAAACCCAGCACTTAGGAGGCAGAGGCAGGCAGATATCAGTGAGCTTCAGGCCAGCATGGTCTACAAAGTGAGTTCCAGGACAGCCAAGACTGTTATACAGAGAAACCCTGTATCCAAAATAACAAACAAAAAAACAAAAAGAATGTTTGAATTTGTTTTATTTTCAGGGAAAATTTGGAAAGTTTAAGAAGTATGTGGCTCACAGCACACATGTCACAAATGTTCGCTGGACTTATGATGACAGCATGCTGGTTACCCTGGGAGGCACAGATATGTCTTTAATGGTATGGACAAATGAAATGGAGAACCATCGAGAAAAAAAGTCTTGCGACAGTGAAGAGTCTGATATAGATTCTGAAGAAGATGGAGGTGTGTCATTTTAGAACATTTAAACAAAAGTATAGGGAAAATAGCTGTACTGATTTAAACTACAGAACTTAAAAATAAGTAATAATAGTATTAGGGTCAGTTTTACAACAAGATTGTTTTTGTGATTAATGACTGGCATATATTGATGACTTAGATTATTCACCATTTGTAAGACAGCCAGTAATATTTTAAGTGCTGTTAAAAGCTTTTATGCTATTGTGCTCTATACTTTAAGATAATTTTTATTTTCTTTATATGCCAGTAATATCAGTAATTATAAAAACACAGGATGAATAATTTAACCACCCGTACTTAACAGTTTAAGGTATATACTAGTGTAATTATTTACTTATATATATAATATATATGTAATAAAAATGAGAGAATTGAACTCATCTTTGTAGCTTGCAGTAATGTACAGTTAGTGATAATTAATAGACATCATACATATTATTAAATATTCTTCACATAAATTTTTCTAGTTACATATTTAGTGATACGGCTTTAACAATTTATTTTATGCTATTGGAAAAAGATGAATATATAAGAATGTAACTGAACATCTTATTATTACTTAGTAACATTTATATTTTGATGATAGGCTATGACAGTGATGTGACAAGAGAGAATGAAATTAGTTACACCATCAGAGCCTTATCAACTAATATTCGCCCAATGCTTGGAGTCAAGCCTCATTTGCAACAAAAGGAACCGTCAGTTGATGAGAGGTAATAATAAAGTTTAAAGTTAGATGAGGAAAATGACTGATATAAAAAGATTGAATTACATCTAAACAGGTTTTCTGTAGAAGCTACTAGTAGCTTTGAATTATGCAGTTGGGAACCACTGTTAGAAACTGTCCTTAAGTACTCTTAGTGTTTGCACTGTTTTTGCAAGGAGTTCAGGGAATGTTATATCCATATGTAAAGTTACTATGATTGGATTAATCTTATTTGCTGGCTTTCATAAATGTGTTATAGGTTGGGGAAGAGACAGAGGTGTGACTTAGTCTCTAAAAGCCCTCAGTGAAGAAGCTGGTATTATAAAAAATATTCACCCAAAAGATGAGTTGAAATGGAATTTCTTGAATAGAAATTACTGGTCTTGATGTAGAATCAACACATGCAGAACAATTTTATGTAAAGAAAAACTCTTATGTGTGTTCCTGTCTACACATACAAGTACATGTTTGTGTGAGCATATACGAACACAAGCTCTGGTGGACATCAGAGACGGACCTTGGCTGTTGGCAGTTTTTTCTTTCTTTCTTTCTTTCATTCATTCATTCATTCATTCATACATACATTCATTCAGAGACTAAGTCTCTCATTGGGCTAAAATTTCCCAAATAGGCAAGTCTGGTTGACCAGGAAGTCTCAGATTTAACACCTGGTTTTTCTTTCTTTCTTTTGTTTGTTTGTTTGTTTGTTTTCACATGGGCTCTGAAGATTGAACTTAGGTCCTCATGCTAGTAAGGGAAGCACGTTGCTGACTGAGCTATCTTCCCCAGTCTAGCAGAGAACATTTTAGTAGTCTTGGTTGAGAAGAGAATTTGACCTGATGTATTCCAAGTCAAGACTGGAGAATAGTGAAGAGGCATTTAGGATTTGGATGTGTAGCCCGGCGATAGAGCACTTGCCAGAAGAGTGAATCCCTGGGCTCTATTCTCAGAATAACAAACAGAACAAAATAAACCTATGGTATAGACTCTACACGTGAAGAGGTTTTAAGAAATAATAAAATACATTGTCCAGAAACAGGGAAAAATAGAGGTAACGGTGGATGGGGTAGCAATGACTTCCAGGGAAGGCTGTAGTGATGGAAACTTTACTATAAGAAGTTCATATTTGGTGGAAAAGCAAATAACATGAAATTTGGGTTTAATATTTGGGGACAGAGCTGAAGTTATAGGTGAACTGCACCTAATAATGGGGAAGGAGACTGCTAGGTGCTTTAGGACTCACTACTGGTGGTGTTCCCAGAGAGCGCAGTTCCTTTCTGCTTCAGGTGCTCAGTTTGTCCAGAAAACACCCTAGGTACCAACAGTGTGCCGTCATCTAAAGAAGAGTCAGACAGTACGTGTGCATTTTGTTCTGTGTGAAGAGGCAAAGGTTAAATGGTTAGGAAAGCCAGTCGTACCGTGATCTGTACACTTGTGTTAAAATTCCAGGGTGAGGCAGCTTGCTAGAAGATAGTGTCTCTCCGGGCGTTGGTGGCGCACGCCTTTAATCCCAGCACTCTGGAGGCAGAGGCAGGCAGATCTCTGTGAGTTCGAGGCCAGCCTCCAAAACAATACAGAGAAACCCTGTCTTGAAAAAACAAAACAAAAAAAAAAGATAGTGTCTAGTGCTAAGTTTGTACATTTGGAACCAGACAAAAGTTTAAAATACCCATTTGTGTCACTTATCACTTGTGTGACCTTGGAATAAACATTTATCTGTTCTCAACCTGTCTTCACTGCCAGAATGAGAGCTATAGTCCTTATCTATGGATTATTTCAAATTCTAAATAAAATAATCAAGAATTTAAATATTCAGAATTAAATAGATTTTTACTAATGAAACCACTCTCATTTAATGAAATATAGAGTAGGTTGGGCATTATGACACACATCTTTAATCCCAGCACTTGGGAGGTAGAAACAGATCTCTGTGAAAATGAGAACAGCTTGTTCTACAAAGCAAATTTCAGGCCAGCCAGGCCCCTCTCTCTCTCTCTCTCTCTCTCTCTCTCTCTCTCTCTCTCTCACACACACACACACACACACACACACACAAAGGAAAAAGAAAGTAACCTAAAATACTAATCCTGAGATTAAATATTCACAAGGTAATGAGTACTACCTTGATATTCATTAATTACAGGAACACATATAAACAAACAAATATGGGTTTGTAAATTGAATACTTGAAGAATTATCATTAGTTTTTTTAAGGAAAATTCTAACTCCCAAGAAATGAAAAGTAAAAAAATGCCATAATCTCTTTCATAAGTTATATTGACTTTTTTCAAAGAGAAATTTTATCATTCATTAGATCAGTTTGTTATATAACCTACAAAGAGATTTTCTCTTCATTGGTGAAGCAATCCATGTGATGGCAGATGGAAATTTCTCTCTCTTTTGAAGAGTTGTTTAACGCTTTCGTTGCTGTAACCATTTCCATTAGTTAGTGTTCCGTTAGTTTTGTTTTCTTGGGACAGGGTCTGACTCTGGAGCCCAGTAAGGCCTGGAACTCACTGTGTACAGTATCCCAGGCTTGCCTCATATGCATGCTTTCTCTGCCTGGGCATCTCAGGTGCTGGTATTACAGGTGGAAGCCCCCATGCCCAGCTCTAGTTTGCCTTTTTTTTTTTTTGCAGCTAACTTCTCAAAATTATTCCTGAAAATTTTTTTCATTTCATTCTCAATTTTTGTCAGTTCTACTAAATTCATTTGAAAAAGCTGAGACAGATGTCACTAATGTGATTCAGAAGCGCCCTCATTTAAAATGTAATAAATAAAAGGAGATAAAAAGAGATTCTACCAGTTTTGAATATATTACTCAAAGTATGCTTTAGTTGTTTAAATAGTTGTTTCATAGTTTAATGTTAGTCATTAAATGTTAACTAGTTACTTCATAAGCAGTTAAGCATCAAATCATCTACCTTAAAGGAAGTATTTCTGATGATAATTTATTACTACTCTATTTAGTTTTCTGAATGGTTTTAATAGTGATATGAATTTCTTTTTCAATAAAATATTTTATAGCAAGTATTTTGTATCTAAGGTAGTTAATTTTTAATCAATTTCTAGTACTTAATTCTATCCAAAATTTGTTATAAAATTAGAAATTTTGTATTTTCTAAAGTACTTTTGATGTTACTTTTATTCTGCTTATTGTTATATATATTCACCATCAATTCCTTATGTGTTTCACCACTTTCTTCTCCTTTCCTTTCAAAGACAGGGGGTAGTAAGGTAAGTGTTTTTTAAAAAACATATTCTAATTACATGTATATTCTGTTTTGATCCCGAGTATTTCAAGGTATTAATTTTTCCATTTAAAATGTTTACTATACTCATTCATTTGAAAAAATAGGGCAGTTATAGTATCTTTGTGTTTAATAAAATTACATGGATAAAAAGGCTGTTGGAATGCTGGCTTGCAGCTGTCTTCAGATGAAAATGCCTTTAGAGCAATTCCAAAGGAGACAACATGGAAATGAGTCAATTTTAGAAGTAAGGAAAGACACCATTTTCTAGAAAAATGCAGGATGAAAAGTGTATTTGAGACCAGATTGTTAGAAACCCAGTGTATCTTCGAGTAATTTGACAATGGAAATTATCTGGGAAATGCATTGTGTTTTCAACAGAGTAATATATGCAAAGATGAGTCCAGAGTATGACTTGAGCTCTGAAGAGGCCCACCTAATCTAACACGAATTTAACAGAAATGAAGTATCCAGATGTAGTTGTGTATGGAAAGTATTGTATTTAGTACTGAACTCCATGTTAAAGGAAACGCTGGCCATTCTGAGTACTGTAGAAGAAACCAGAGTGAAGGAAAGTTGAAAGGCTGCTTCTAAGAGCAGTCAGTTATTTAGGAATCGCTTGTCTGAAACATAAAGCTAAGTGGAGATGTAATTGCTGTCTTGGATATGGACAGCTTTTTACGTGAAGTAACCTCGCCCTCACAAGTATGCTTGGATGACCATCTGACGGGAAAGCTGTGAAAGGACACTTCTGTGGTTCCTTTCAGTTCAATTAGTGATTACATTGTCATCACTCTCCTTCTGTTCCTGGGTCTGAATCCAGGCCTCAGGTGACAGGCAAGTGTTCCAACACAGCTGCATCCGCAAACCCCTATATTTTTATTTTATTTTGGTGTTTTGAGACAGAATCTTGAAGTATAGCCAGAGCTGGCTGGCATTTGAGAGCCCTTCTTCTCAACTGCCAGAATGCTGGGATTTCAGTCACATACCACCTGCCATGTTCATTCTGCTACTGAGGGAATTGTTCTTTGGGGAGGGAGAGAGAGGTGGTTTTGTTTTGGGATAGTCTTGCTATATAACTCACAGCAATCCCCCTGCCTCAGCTTCCCAGAGTGTGCTGGCATAAGGTCGAGCACCACCAAACTCAGATAGCATTCTTCTTTTTAATGATACTTCCTTTGGTAGCCAGGTCCCAAACTCAGTAAGGTCCTGAATGCCTGAGTCTGCACCTGGGGAACTTCCTTAGAGGTGATGGATAGTCTCCTGAGACAGTTGGGTTTTTTTGTTTTGTTTTGTTTTTTAAAGCAGCCCCAGGAATAAGGTTCTTTTTTCCTTCCTTAGAACAAAGAAAATATGAAGGACACTCTAAAATTTGTCACAGAACATTCCAAATTCTCATATGTCCTTTTTTTATCTTCTAGTTTCTCTGCCATTAATGGACTAATTTAAGCTTTTCTTAAGTGCAATAATGAAAAGCCTTTAATGTATGAAATACTGTTTATCTGCGCTAAACCTAGCAATATTTTATTATGCAAGATTCTGTAATAATGTTTAAAATTCAGATTGTGTTAAAATCTTTTTCCTTTTTCCTCTGCTGCGAAAAAGAGGATCCAGGTAACCATCTCCTTGCTGTGTTTACAAGACCAAATTTCGTGTTTTTATCATCTCTCTGTTTGCCATTAATGAGCAGTATCTCTGCTCCCATTTCCCTCCCTCCAAAGGAATGGCATCTCAATTATCTGGCTTACATAAGTCACTGTATCACTAACATTTTATGCATCCAAATTGTATTATTTTACAAGCCAAATAATTTCATTTTATACAGTAATATGATTTATTTAAATAATCCTTATACAGTTTAAATATGTTTGTTACATAAGATTTTATAGATAAAACTGGTAATGAGGTTAGAATTAAAGCTATAAGATACTTACACATTAAATATAGATCACAAAATCGACTTGGAAGAAAAGCTGGACTTTCTGTCATTTTTTGAACTAGTCCTGGTAGCAATATTGTTAAATGTTAAATATTATTAATTTAGTTCTGTTTTTATGTATGGACCATCAAAAATGTGAAGGTTTGAACTTTAAATTTCTGTGATAACTTGGAAAGTTACACGTTCTTAATAAAGATATTTTTATGACACCAGTCAGTCATGCTCAGTACATACTATTGCATGCTCTATGTGAATATGTACATTCATTTAACAGTGTATTATGGTAGTTAGTATCAAATGTAGGCTTTGCCCATGCCGCTAGGTCACCCTGCTGCCAGCAGGCTGGATCCCCAACACTCTGCATTTATTTTATATTGTATGTTCAGTATGCACCAGGGCTGGAGAGATGACTCCGTGGTTAAAAGCACTGGCTGTTCTTGCAGAGTACTACGTTCAGTTCCTAGCACCCACATGGTGGCTCACAACTGTCCTTAATTCCAGTTCCAGGGCATCTGACACCTCTTCTGACTTCTGTGGGCTCCTGCATGTATATGAGGCACATACACTCAGACATGCATGGACTTGTGGGCACACACACACACACACACACACACACACACTAAAAGATGCAACACTTCTTTTAGCTTTGCAAATATATAACTTCACAGTGCTTTTAGAATCTGTTTATATAGCATAATAAATTATTAAATGTTGGAAGTTTTTATAAAATAAATGAGTATCATTTCTAATTTAGTTACAAATTGAATATTTAAAATTTAGAGAGGAGTTAATGTGTGATTTAGATTCAGTGTTCAGATTTTAAAATACTTGAATAATGGTTGAGATGGACTAGTAAGTGGATTTTAAAAATTAAATACAAGGTTTTGCAAAAGTTCTTCCACAACTAAATAATTCAAAATATTCATCTGTGCTCCTATTGGAACATTTTTTGGATTTCTGGGAAGATCAGAGAGGGCTGGATTCAAAAGCTATTCTGTAGGGAAGGTGATAAATATCCCATAAACCAATTAGGGAAGAGGGAACTTTGGAGACAGTAGTTGTGGTAATGACCTTTTTTGGAATGTTGAATGGTTTTCCTTGCTTTGTGACTATAAAATGTCTTCCTGAATAACTTTCTGATGTTGATACCATTAGCCACCATGAGGGGATTCATCAGGCAATAAAGGGCTTGACGTGGAGGGTGTGCTGTTATAAATTTGAACTCATGGGGATGATGCTACCAACAGTGAAGAAAGTTCACGAAAATGCTATACAAATACACTGTCAGAATGTTTTATATATCTGCTATGTGAGCCATAAGGGACACTTGAGAGCAATAGAAGATAACATACCCATCTGGAAATGTTTGAGTATGTCAAACTAACACTCTTACATTTGCCTGTTCTTATGCTATGTTACTTACATTATAAGACACAGACTAAAGATATTAAAAGTAAAACTGAATAAAAATATTACCTCTTTCTACATTAGAAGTTATAAAGATGTGGAGAGTACAGTGCAGTGGAACACGAGTGGGCTTCCTTTGGGGAGGGTGACATCTGGAGGGCGGATTGGTGACCCAGTGGAGGACACACATAATACTGTCTTTCCTCCTTCCCACCCCTCTGTCACAGGCCCCCAGTGAGTAGGGCCCCACCACAGCCAGAGAAACTTCAGTCAAACAATGTTGGCAAGAAAAAGAGACCTATAGAGGTAAGGAAAATGAATTTCCCAATATTCCCAAGCTTCCTTTTCATAAAACATTCACGTTTTGCCATTAATTTCACGAAATTGGCTATATTGAATCATCTTTGCTTTGCAAAAGTTGGTTGCTTAATTGTTTTCAAGTCCAAATTTTGGATTGATGCCCTCTACTTCTCTTAATTTCAAGTGAGTCTTTTACATATATAATGTCCTGAATTGATCTGTATCTTGGAGAAGGTCTAAATGTAAATTTATATGAGTGATTTCATGAATGAACAGAGAAGCCCACTACCTTGGTGGTGTCTTATAGTCAGTAAATGGATTTTATAAGTTAAAGATTAGATGCAGTATTTCAGGAGCTTTACCTCTTACGATACTTTTACTACGTAGGGCACATGGAGAGTGATTCTCCTTTTTGCTTCCATCAGGAACCCTTCTCAGGCATTTCGTATAGCCAGTATCAGCAGCAAACAAGCGAACTGTGCTAGCTCCAGCATGAGGAAGGTGTACAGCCTCCCACCACCCATAAGGCAATGAAAAGGAATCTTCCGGTTGTAGGATTCTCTCCAGAACTTTACCTATGACTTGTCAGAAACAGCTTTGGGTTCCCCTCGTTGTCTAATTTGGACATAATGTATCTTAAGTATATAGAACAAGTACCTGGACTAACAATGAGTACAAACTGAAACATTCCTTTGGTTAACAAATAGAAACTCTTGGAATGAGAACTCATTCCCTCGGAATGAGATGACCTTGTGGTTCCCTTCTTCCTTTTATAAGTTCATATTGAGAAATATGGGGGGGTGCTCCATTGCTGAAAGCATGTTACATAAAACATATTTATGTCTGATGGCTGTTGCACCCCTGAAGTCTCAGCTGTAGTGGTTACTGCGTACGAATGGGCCCCTCTCCCTGAGGAGCTGTAGTCAGTGGCTGCTGGGGGAAAGAAATCATGCTCCTCAGGGGTACAACCCGGGTGAGTTGTCTTTCTTAAGTGAATAACCACCACCTGTGCACATGTATAAACAGCAGCAATCAGAGGCAATGGGACACCAGGAGATGGGAAAGTAAGAGGAGACCTTTGGAAAGAAGGGGTTCAGTGGGAGGGCGATAAGAGGTTAGTGGGAGAAGATAATCAAAGTGTATGATATATGTATGTGTGTGTATATATATATACATATGTATGTATATATATAATGTGATGTTTATGTGAAATTGTGAAAGGCTAAAGAAAAAATTAAATGTCTAACTTTATTTTGGATTAGCAGTTTATAAAATATACAAAGCACACTCTCCCTTTGATGGAAAATGCTAGTTTGGTCTGTATCACAGAGCTCTAGTGAACATTTACGCTGAGGAAGGATGTAAAGTATCTTTTTTTTTTCATTGTTATAGGACCTTGTGTTGGAGCTTGCTTTTGGCTATCGAGGCAGAGACTGCAGGAACAATGTGCATTACTTAAATGATGGCGATGATATAGTTTATCACACTGCCTCTGTTGGGATTCTGCACAATGTTGCTACAGGTAGGAGTCTTAATTCCCTGTACACACACTGATTTTAGTTTAGAACTTATTATCTAGCAGTCTTAAGTTGTCTGTTAAAAACTACAAATGTATTTTTATTTATTTTATTTAAATTTGGGGATTTTGTTTTTTCAAGACAGGGTCTCACTACGTAGCCTTGGCTGTCCTGGAACTTGCTCTGTAGATCAGGCTAGCCTTAAAGTCCAATTCATAGAGACCTGCCTGTCTCTGTCGTACTTTGGTTTAGAGTTTCTCATCAGTTTGGGGTTACATTGTAACAATGTTCAGAGAAAGCTGGGTGGTAGTGGCACTCACCTTTAATCCCAGCACTCAGGAGGCAGAGGCAGGCGGATCTCTGTGAGTTCGAGGCCAGGCTGGTCTACAAAGTGAATTCCAAGATAAGCTCCAAAACTATACAGAGAAACCCTGTCTCGAAAAACAAAACAAAAATACTATTCAGAGAAGTGTCTGCCAGCTTATTTTCCACCAATTAAACCAGTAGCCTCTAATTACTTGTTTGTTCCTTTCTCTGGACCTTCTGCTCTGGAAAATACAAAACATATTTTTATTTTTGTGTTTTGGAAAGAAGTCTTTATGTTGGTTAGTCTGGCGTGGAACTCACTGTGTAGCCCAGGCTGGCCTGAAACTCATACTCAAAGATCCACCTGCCTCTATGGGATTGCTGTGTGTAGTGCCACACCCAAGGGCTTTGAGGAAGTGTAAGTAACATAGGTGTGTTAGTGTATTGCTGGGGTTGTGGAGAGCCTGTTCTATATGGTCCTCTGTAATCTACATCCAGCCTGCTGTCCTGCTTTCCACACCGAGTTATTTTACCTCCTACTCCATTTAGTCTTCTTATTGTCTTTATGGACTGCTGTTGGTTCCTGTGATGATCCCTTCACTGTCAGTGCTGCCAGAGGAACCATGTTAGCTCTCTGATCAAAAACCACTGCTTACAAGATAAATTTGAAATTTGAATAAACAGCACCCAGATGAATAAATGAGAAATTATTTTTGTTTTTTTGTTTTTGTGGCTCTAGTAAATTTTTTTCTTTACAAAATCAAAGGGGGAAGCTGTTAGGCAAGTATTCAAAGTCTTGCATAATTCTCGTACCTGCTTACTTTTCCATCCATATTGCTGCCTTTCAGCATGATCCACTTCATTCAGATGAGCCGTATGTATGCAGTTAGTGACATCCTCAGCCTTTTGTTCACCTGTCTCATGATACTGGGGATCTTCAGCTTGTACATGGTTTATCCTTTTCAGGGCTCTGTTCCTTTAAGATTACCAAGTCATTGCCATCCTTTTAATAGAGATCACTTACATGGTAAATGCTCAAAACATATTTTGAATGAACAAATAAGTTTATTGTACTAAATAAGTACATCTGGTTGATGCATCTTAAAGTTTTTAAAGTTAACTCTTCAAATTCTTTCTTTATAGGGACTCAGAGTTTTTATCAGGAACACAATGATGACATTCTGTGCCTCACTGTAAATCAGCACCCCAAATTTATCAACATAGTGGCAACTGGCCAAGTAGGTATGTTTCTATATTTCAAAAAGAAATAGTTTGGGACATTTACTTTGTTCTAATACTTTCAATACCCAGAAAAAAATGAAGTGTATTAATTTGTGGGTTGCTCAGAATGAACATGTGTACAGAACCTAGCCCGATTACCTAATGCCTGCTTCCAGGTAGCTTTCTACTCCTTAACTTGGGCTATCTGAATTTGCCCAGACCGTTGTGTAAATAGTTGGCCTTTCGCTTTAGCAGGAATTTCTGGTCAGCCAAATGGTTGCATTCAATAGTATATAAAACTTGAAGGAAGGATAAAGGGCAGCCAAGAAATTAACTAGACCAATGGAGATAGAGCCCCTGTTCAGCAAAGGTTAGCTTGGGTAAGAGACAATGCAGGTCTGTTTCATGTTAGAAAACCCCTTTGCATTTTAAAATGTTTGTTTGCTATTAGTATTGATCAGATTCACCAATGGTTTGAAATGTACCTATGGTTTATTTTTAATTTTTATTAAAAAAATCGAGGTTCATGACCCTATGAGTAGGATATCATGTCTATTTAAATTGACAGTCAAAAATTAGCATGCTACTGCATCACAGATGTGGCCAGTCAAGTACACTTGTAAACATTATAGAAATTACCATGTTTTTTGGATCTCAGTGAGTCACAATTGCTACACTCACTTTACTCACTTTCCTGGTGTCTTAGTATCTTCATTATCCCTGCAAATACTATTTGTTACTCAGGAATCTGTTCTCTGGTTGTCTGACTTGATAGCTGTGCTACATGGAACCCTTGTATTTTTTTCCCTTCTGGAGAATTTTCTTTAAAAAAAATTAAGGTGGGATGTGGTGGCACATGCCTTTAATCCTAGCACTTGGGAGGCAGAGGAAGACAGATGTCTGAGTTCAAGGCCAGTCTGGGCTATAGAGTAAGTTCCAGGATAGCCAAGGCTACACAGAGAAACCCGGTCTCCTTGAAAAACCAAACAAACAAACAAACAAACAAAAAGCCAAAACAAAACAAAACTAACCTTTAAAGTCAACATACAAAATGATGGACTTTGTTATAGCATTGTCATGTGTGTGTATTATTATACAGTTTAATTTGTTATTTATTTGTATGTGTATCTCTGTGTGAGTGTATGAGCATGTCTGAGCACATGACACGTAGAGGCCAGAAGAGTGCATCAGTTGTCCTACTCTATTACACTCTACATCTGTTTCTTTGAGGCAAGGTCTCTCTCAGAACTTAGGACTTACATTTCCTTGGTTAGACTGGAAGCCAGCAAGTTCCAGCAGTCCTCCTCTCTCCACCCTCCTTAGAGCTGGGGTTACAGGCATGTGTGGGACATTAGCTTCTTACATGGATAGATTATGAACCAGGCCTGGTGGCTAAACCTGTAAGCCTGACGCTTGGGAATTAGTGGCAGGAGGATTGAACCCCACAGCTTTATATCTAATAAAGTAATCCAACTTCTAGAAAGCTTGCTTATAAAGTGCTCCTTCACATAGAACAGAAGTCAGTTTCTTTGTGCTTACTCTCTCATTTTTCTTGGGTATATAGAAAATCTAATCACTTATTCCTGTGACTTTACCTTCCAGCTTTGGAGACAATTGTTCTCTCAGTGACTTTCTCCTAGTGGTTTTCTTTCAGAAAGATCATGTTGTACATCTACTAGGAGTGGGGTATGCCTGGGACAATGAAATTGCTTTCCAGGGAAAGCATTCTCTCCCCTGGACTATGTCTTGAGTTTTTGATATCCTGGAATCCTCCATCAAATGGTTCTAAACCTGCTCTTGGGCTTACCTGAGCCTCTTCTCAAGAGTGTGTCCATCCAGTAGCACACTGGACACCAGCATGTGTATTCATAAAGGCCGGCCAGGGGGTGGTCAGCTTCCACTGGATTTGGGCATTCCATTCTGGGATACATGTCCTAGCCAATTTTGGCTACTAGAACAAATACTTGGATGTAGTGTTTTTAAAACAAACAAACAAACAAACAAACAAACAACACATTTCTTACTGTGGGGATCACAGACCCTGGCCGGAAACCCACCCCTCCATCAGCCTGGGAGCAGGCAGCTGCGAGATAATGTTTACAGAAAACATGTTTACTGAAAACAATTCAGTACCATAAAGCTCTTGATAGGGCTCCGATAAGGGCTCACTCACTGAAACACCACGACTTTGATACCCCCCTACGGCTAGCTGTTTCTTCCTGCTCCCAGGCTGATGGAGGGGTGGGTTTCTGGCCAGGGTCTATGATCCCCACACTTACCACTTTGGAAATTGGAAATTAAAGCTAAAGATGCCACCATGATTGGGTTCTGATGAAGGCCATCTCCCTAGGTTACAGATGGCCTTGTTGTATCTCTATTGTCTTTCTTATTTTTCTGTCATCTTTTCTTATGCTGATCTTCACTGTGGGACTCTACTGTCATGACCTAATCACCCTCAAAGGTCCCATGCCCTAATACCGTAGTTGAAATTAGAATGACATCATACGAGTTTTGGAGGAACACAAGCATTTCATTCCATAGCAGCCTCACATAAGTGCTTCCATGGTCCCTTGTGATGTGGGATGTAGCTGTCTGCTGAGGAAAGAAGGCAGTGACATATGTCCGCAAACTCCAGTGAGTTATGAATTTCTACTTGTCCTCCCAGATCATCAGAGGAAAATATATATCAAGATTAGAACAAAACAAAACAAAACTGGGGGACTGGAGAGATAACTCAGTTTGTAAAATACTTGCTGAATAAAGACGAATTCAGTTCCAAAAAGCATGTAAAAAAGTCTGGTATTGTGGAATGAATGCACTTGTTATCACAGCACGGGAAATGCAGGCTGGTAGATGTTGAAGCTCATGGACCATCTAGGCTATCCTTCTAGTCAAGCCCCAGGTCATTAAGAACCCCTTTACTTAACGTGAGAAGGAATACCACCCGAGATTAACCTCTAGCCTCCGCACACACACAGACATATGCACCAGCACATACAATGCACTCAAGTGTGACACATACACAGGGGTGGAGGGGGAGAGATGACAGGCAATAACATAATTAATTTGATAATTTTATCTTCATTGTGCTTCCACGGTTCCTCATAGCATGGGATGTAGCTGTTTGTGAGGAGAGAAGGTTGTGTTACATGTTCCCAAACTCCAGTGAGTTCCAAATTCATACTAGTCCTTCCAGGTCATGAGAGAGATATACCTAAATTATTATAATCATGTAGGCTATAATGTTGCAGCTTTTATCTGCAGTCCATTCTCTTATCCCAGACTATCCAAGGACAAGTTTGGCCTCTAAGACAAACACCCCCATTCTATCAACTTTTCTTTATGCGACCAAGTATTAAGTCTTTTCATCAGTTGGTGATTATCATATTATGTTCAGAACTAAAAATGACAGAGCTGAATACTTTATTCTCTCTTTTCTCATATTCTTGATAAGGATACCTATATACCTGTGTTATCAGTTTGTCCTTGAAGTCGTTATTTCATGTAGGTGGGTATAAGACTTGATTGATTTAGAAATCTGTCAAATCTCTTCAGTGGGCATGTAACTTCCCCTACTCTCTTTCTTGCTGTAGACTGTCACTCTTTAAAGCTTTGTTCATATGAATGTAAGCTTTCACATTTTTCTTTCGTGCATATTGTTTCTAAAATACTTTCCCAAGGGAGTCATAAACAACACTTGTCCCTCCAAGGTGCAATTCCATCTAGCTCACTCTGGAAACCACTCTTAGGATTACTTACAGAGCATAGATGAGGGGTTTCCTATAGGTATATCACCCCTAAGGCCACACCTGACAGCAGGGATGATGACTTTCCCATAGCTGGGGAGATAGAGTCCTATCCCCTAGTCTCCCTCAGCCTAGATACTGTAGCCCCTCCACGAGGCCCAGTTACATACATTGGGTGGTGTGGAGTGACTGGATACTCAGGTGAGGTCTCATGGCCCTCCCTCATGGTCCCTGTATGGGGGCTGCTAGCAGTCATGTCCAGTTGTGGTGGTGTTTTGCTGGTGGGCACGGTTGAACACCCTAAGATGGCAGTTGTTTGGCTCAGGTGGTAGTCCAGTATAACACATGTGGGAAGTCTCTAGCTATGCTGAAGAACCCGTTTTGCTTGTTGGGTTATTTAACAGCCTTTGCTGCCATGCGCCTCAGATCTAACTCTTTCCTGCAAACCTCCAAAGTGTAATTAGCAGTGCATTTTGTAAACCCGAAAAGGTTCAGTATTACTTTACAAACTATTATGATTAAAGTTGTATGTATCTCATTAAACACACCTAAAGAAAGACTGAATGATCATTCATTGAATGTTAATATATGTAGATAACAAAAAGTAGCTTCTCTCAGTCTACTCAATTTTATATAACCTAATTTCGTATAGGATATTTTGTAATTTAAATAACCAAATTATAATTGTGTCTTATAAATACTATTTATTATTTATGGATAACTTTTTAAATTGTTTATTCATTATAGGTGATTCAGCAGACATGTCAGGTAAGGAAACTTGAATACTTTCTGTTTTAGTTATATTATATTGCAGTAATAGCTGAAGTATAAGTAATAAGATACATACAAATAACATATTCCCCCTAAAGTCCATACATCGTACTGCTCCATGTACAGCTTGTAGAATATTAATGACAAATAACATCATTTTTTATCTTCAAAAATAATAGTATTTTTTTAAAAAATGGTTTGGGGACTAGAAAGATAGCTGAATCCCTAAAATGCTTGCCTCACAAGCATGAGTTTAAGAACCCACATGAAAATATCAGGTATGGGGGTGCACACACTTGAATCTCAGCAGCAGGATGATTCCTGGGTTTTGCTCATCAGACAGCATAGCCTAATGGGCAAGCTCCAGTCTCAGAAATAAGGTGGACAGCACCTGGAGAGGAGTGAAGTCACAGGCTGACCTCTGGCCTCCAACACAAGCGTATACCTGCCTATACAAACACACAATCACACGTGAATATATACTCATAAGTGTTTTGATCTCTCAAGTGTGCCTGGAGGTAGTCTGAAGATTTTTCTTATGTCGTCAGCACATGGTAGTCAGTCACTTGCTAACATCATTTAGCTGGTAGCAAATCTATTAATTTATAAGCTATTTTTGTTGTTGAACGTATTACATCAGGAAATCATTTAAATGTATATAAAGTAATTTTATGACTAATTTGACCATGGCTTTATGAACTTAAGAAAACAGTTCAATTAATAGTTTTTATATGTCCATCGTCTTACACATTATAATAACTAGGCTTCTCAACTATATTTTCATTTTTGTAATACAATAATTATTAGCAATTTGTAAGAAAATATTCCCCAGAGACATCTGGGTTTTTCTGGTCTTCATTAGAATACAGTATGATTTTGTGCTTGGACTAGTCCACTACTAATTGATTTAACACAGCAAGCCAAGTCCTTGCTCCCTTGGCTACACTCAAGAGTGGGAATTAGCAAAGTGTTACTATCCCTGTGCTTGATTTTATAGCACATGAGCTGAAGATACTTTAAACCAATTTGAGTAGCTGAGAAAAAAATCAGAAAACTCATGATAATAAAAATTACATGGAACTCAAACTTCTGTATGCACAAATGAAGCATTATTGGGCACAGCTGTGCTCTGCTGCATGTCATCGACAGTAGCTTTGGTGCTGTCATGGCAGAGTGGAGTAGTTACAGCAGACTGCACATGGCGTTTCAGCAATGTGCACAAGTTCTGATTCCACAATGGTGACTTCATAGATTATAAGTGCCACATAAAAGCCGGTCACATAGCATATTACTTGGTTTTAGTTTAGTTTGTTTATTTGCTTGCTTCTTGTTGTTATTGTTGTTGGTTTGAGATAAAGTCTTGCTCTATAACCCTGGCTGACCTGCAACTCTTAATATGTAGACTGGGATAGCCTCAAACTACAGAAATTCTCCCACCTCCACCTCCTGAATGGTGGAATTACAGGCATATACAAACAAGCCTGGATTTCTCTCTCTCTCTCTCTCTCTCTCTCTCTCTCTCTCTCTCTCTCTCTCTCTCTCTCTCTCTCTCTCTCTCTCTCTCTCTCTCTCGTGTGTGTGTGTGTGTGTGTGTGTGTGTGTCTGTCTGTCTGTCTGTCTGTCTTTCTGTCTGTCTGTCTGTCTATTTTGTTGTGGAAAAGTTTTCAACAAATGCTGCTAGAAAGCTGGCTATCCACATGTAGAAAACTAAAGTGTATCTGTGTGTCTTGCCCTGTACAAAAATCAATTAAAATGGCTTGATGATCTTGATGTGAGACCTGAAACCATTAGATTGTTAAAGGGGGCTGGAGAGAAGGCTCAAAGGCTCAGAGCACACACTGCTCTTGCAGTTCTCAGCACCAACATTATGCAGCTCACAACTGCCTGTAACTCACCAGAGAACATTACATCTGCGCCCTCCAGAGACACACACACACTTTAAAATGATAAAGATCGCCGGGCGGTGGTGGTGCACACCTTTAATCCCATCACTCGGGAGGCAGAGGCAGGCGGATCTCTGTGAGTTCGAGGCCAGGCTGAACCAACAGCCTCCAAAACAATACAGAGAAACCCTGTCTCATTAAAAAAAAATGATAAAGATAAATTTTATATTATATAAAGATCCCCATTTTCATTCATAAAAAAACTGTTAGAGGAAGGAGTTATAGGGAAGACACTTCAAGATCTTGGCAGTGACATAGGAAAAAGATACCAGTAGCTCAGAAAGTAATACCAAGCGTTGACAAATGAGATTGCATAGAATTTAAAGGCTTCTGCTTAGCTCTTAACAAGTAGCAGTAGGAAACAATTTGAGTGAAGACACAGCCTACAGAATGAAGAAAATTTTGCTAGTTAGCTTGAAGAGGGTCAAGTTTTAAATAGTCACTTTAGCATGTAGGACAATAAATTCATGGATTAGAAATGGTACAGTAGAATTACCACTGACCATGTGTGTTCAGTGGACACTAAGGAAAACATGTTGTTTCTTAGACTAGCCTGACTCCATAGCATTTGCAAATTGGGCATTTTTTATTCCTAAGACAACGAAAGGAGCATTTTCACTCTGGTCTTGATGGTACCTGTCGTGGCAGGTGGGTGTCCATCAAATGGCTTTTGAGGCCTTGGGCGCTCCTACCACAGATTAGGATATTCAGTGATATGCAGAGTGAGGAGGTTAGAAGCCTCTTATGTTTGCTGACTGTAGCTCCATGGTGATCCCCGATACTTCCCATCTCACCAGCGCCAGGCCAGCATGGTCTACAAAGCTACACAGAGAAACCCTGTCTCGGAAAAACAAAAAATCAGAATTACACTTACTTATTTGTTTATTTACGTGTGTGCTTGTGTCCTGGCACGCATGCAGAGGTCAGAGGACAATTTGTGGGAGTCAGTCCTCCCTTTCCAGCCACCATGTGCTCCTGGGGATGAAACTCAGGTGTCAGGCACTTTTTCCTGATGAGCCATCTTGAAATCTTGCTCAATGGCTTATACTTTGACTCATAATGAATGAGGGATTCAGTTCCATACTCAAATAATTGCAATAAAATTTTCTATCTTGTTTCCTTTTTTTTTTTAAGACAAGACTGACATATCCCAGGCTGTCCTCAAACTCCCTGTATCTGTTGAGGATGACTTTGGATTTCTCATTCTCTTGTCCCCATCTTCTGAATCCTAGGAATGTAGGTGTATGCCATCACACCTGGCTTTTATGTAAGGTGTATGCCATCACACCTGGCTTTTATATAAGGTGTATGCCATCACACCTGGCTTTTATATAAGGTGTATGCCATCACACCTGGCTTTTATATAAGGTGTATGCCATCATCACACCTGGCTTTTATATAAGGTGTATGCCATCATCACACCTGGCTTTTATGTAAGGTGTATGCCATCACACCTGGCTTTTATATAAGGTGTATGCCATCATCACACCTGGCTTTTATGTAAGGTGTATGCCATCACACCTGGCTTTTATATAAGGTGTATGCCATCACACCTGGCTTTTATATAAGGTGTATGCCATCACACCTGGCTTTTATATAAGGTGTATGCCATCATCACACCTGGCTTTTATATAAGGTGTATGCCATCACACCTGGCTTTTATGTAAGGTGTATGCCATCATCACACCTGGCTTTTATGTAAGGTGTATGCCATCACACCTGGCTTTTATATAAGGTGTATGCCATCACACCTGGCTTTTATATAAGGTGTATGCCATCACACCTGGCTTTTATATAAGGTGTATGCCATCATCACACCTGGCTTTTATGTAAGGTGTATGCCATCATCACACCTGGCTTTTATATAAGGTGTATGCCATCATCACACCTGGCTTTTATGTAAGGTGTATGCCATCATCACACCTGGCTTTTATATAAGGTGTATGCCATCACACCTGGCTTTTATATAAGGTGTATGCCATCACACCTGGCTTTTATATAAGGTGTATGCCATCACACCTGGCTTTTATATAAGGTGTATGCCATCACACCTGGCTTTTATGTAGCTCTGGGGATCAAAAGCCATGCTTTATGCACAGTAGGCAAGCCCTCTGCCAACTGACATATATCCCAGCTCCCAAAGTTTTCAGATATAAGTAATCCATTTTATTAGTAGTCAAACTTTTGTATCTCCTTGGAATTTTGATGTTTTACAATTGGATAGACCTGAACAAAGGCTTCATATCTCTAATTTAACATATTTTAAAGATTTATTTATTTATTATGTATCCAGTATTCTGTCTGCATGTATGCCTGCAGGTCAGAAAGGGGTGCCAGATCTCATCACATATGGTTGTGAGCCACCATGTGGTTGCTGGGAATTGAACTCAGGACCTCTGGAAGAACAGCCAGTACTCTTAACCTCTGAGCTATCTCTCCAGCTCTAGTTAAACATATTTTAACTGTATTATTTGAAAGTTTCTTAGATTTATCATGTGTGCATTATAAATAGCAGATGCGAAGAGCAGAATTTCCTCCTGTATAAAATAATCCCAGGCAGCTTATCTTCTTCTGTGTTTTCCCATCTTTGCAGTTTATAATTCAAAGCAAGTGCACTTTAGTATTTTGAGTGTTTTAGTAAGAGTGTTTACGTTCCCAGACTGAATTAGCTGCTGGATGAACTTCATTTTTAGGGTATAATTTGAAAAGAAGATAGCACAAAACTATGATATTTTCGTTTAGGCAATAAAGAGCAGCAGACTGACATGAAGTTCAAGCACAGAGCCCTTAACTCATTTCCCAGGAGGAACAGAAAGGGGTGCAAAAGAATGTACATAGCAAAAGATAAATAATGTACCTTTTCGGATTAACAGTTTTTTTTGTTTGTTTGTTTGTTTTTTACGAGACAGGGTTTCTCTGTATTGTTTTGGAGGCTTATTGGTCCAGCCCGGCCTCGAACTCACAGAGATCCGCCTGCCTCTGCCTCCCGAGTGCTGGGATTAAAGGCGTGCGCCACCACCGCCCGGCTCGGATGAACGGTTTTATTTTTCCAGTGAAATAGTGTTTTTAAAAAGTCTGGAAGTGTGTGTAGCCTGTCCCAGGTTCCCATCTGGATAGTTCATTTTCCCATTGTGTGTGTGTAGCCTTTCCCAGGTTCCCATCTGGGTAGTTCATTTTCCCATTGTGTGTGTGTAGCCTTTCCCAGGTTCCCATCTGGATAGTTCATTTTCCCATTGTGTGTGTAGCCTGTCCCAGGTTCCCATCTGGATAGTTCATTTTCCCATTGTGTGTGTAGCCTGTCCCAGGTTCCCATCTGGATAGTTCATTTTCCCATTGTGTGTGTAGCCTTTCCCAGGTTCCCATCTGGATAGTTCATTTTCCCATTGTGTGTGTAGCCTGTCCCAGGTTCCCATCTGGATAGTTCATTTTCCCATTGTGTGTGTAGCCTGTCCCAGGTTCCCATCTGGATAGTTCATTTTCCCATTGTGTGTGTAGCCTGTCCCAGGTTCCCATCTGGATAGTTCATTTTCCCATTGTGTGTGTAGCCTGTCCCAGGTTCCCATCTGGGTAGTTCATTTTCCCATTGTGTGTGTAGCCTTTCCCAGGTTCCCATCTGGGTAGTTCATTTTCCCATTGTGTGTGTAGCCTGTCCCAGGTTCCCATCTGGATAGTTCATTTTCCCATTGTGTGTGTAGCCTGTCCCAGGTTCCCATCTGGGTAGTTCATTTTCCCATTGTGTGTGTAGCCTTTCCCAGGTTCCCATCTGGGTAGTTCATTTTCCCATTGTGTGTGTAGCCTGTCCCAGGTTCCCATCTGGATAGTTCATTTTCCCATTGTGTGTGTAGCCTTTCCCAGGTTCCCATCTGGATAGTTCATTTTCCCATTGTGTGTGTAGCCTGTCCCAGGTTCCCATCTGGATAGTTCATTTTCCCATTGTGTGTGTAGCCTGTCCCAGGTTCCCATCTGGGTAGTTCATTTTCCCATTGTGTGTGTAGCCTTTCCCAGGTTCCCATCTGGATAGTTCATTTTCCCATTGTGTGTGTAGCCTTTCCCAGGTTCCCATCTGGATAGTTCATTTTCCCATTGTGTGTGTAGCCTGTCCCAGGTTCCCATCTGGATAGTTCATTTTCCCATTGTGTGTGTAGCCTGTCCCAGGTTCCCATCTGGATAGTTCATTTTCCCATTGGCTCTGTCCAGCAGCTCTCTGCTTGCTGCCCGCCAGTTGCATGTGATTTGCGTTGCTTTCAGAGGCTGTCACTGCTCAGTATTTACTTGCATGTAACACATGTACTGTGTTAAGTGTGTGTGATTTCTATATAACGTCTGTGAAGACTGAAAAATGTAAAACTATTCTTTCCATCCCAGAGCCGTGCCTTGTACAAAGCTTGTGGTCCTCTCACTGCCTGCTGCCCCTTGTACTCAGACATACCTTGTTTGATGAGCTGTGTAATATTCTTGCCTGATTTCTTTGCCTAAATGCTATTTTCTTGAAAGTGCAACTTTTAACATATTCTGAAGGATTCTGTATTTGTCCCTTTCTTTACTTTCCCCTCCTTTTTATTTCCTTTTAAAAATTTAGCTTCAGTTTTGAGCTATTAAAAACTGCATCCCTTTTAAGTACATGTTTCCAAGGCAGGCGAATGCTGGACACTGAAGTGGCAACTTGGAGATGGTTGTGACACTTGGATGTTGTCTTTGTTCAGCTACAGCCCCATCTGTGCACATCTGGGATGCAGTGAGCAAGCAGACGCTGTCTATATTAAGATGCTCTCATTCAAAGGGGGTGTGCTCCGTCAGCTTCAGCGCTACTGGGAAGCTGCTGCTATCTGTGGGGCTAGACCCGGAGCACACCGTTACCATTTGGAGATGGCAGGAAGGTAGGATCCTTTCTTTTGTGTGATTAAAACACAAAACAAAGCAACATACACACACCAAAATCAAACAAACAGAAGCTCACAAGAGTACTAGGGCTGCGTGAATGCTTTCTTTTAGCATTTGCCTTAAGTTGGTGATTGAAGCCATTTTTCATTTTAGTTCTACAAAACACATAGCACACAGTTGGTAGCACTGTATGTGTCTCCTTTTAAAAGCTCCGTGAAGCCGTAAGTTCACAAAACATGAAACACAGTATTAAAAATCATTCCCAGTGATTTCCTTACAGTAAGAAACTATGTTTTTGCTAGTGAGTTGATCAGTTCTGAGGTATTTTATTAAAAATGAAAATTGCAGCACTTAGGAGGACAAGGCAAGAGGATTGCCATGAGTTTGAAGCCCACCTGAACTACATATTTAATTATCTAATTCAATGCATACCTAAATATGAAAGGAAAAATAAAAGAGTGTATTGTGATCCAATCCAGAGCCTGGTACATGCTACACAGGTAATCTGTCACTGAACCACATCTCTTTTTTATTATTAATTTATTTTTTACAATCCCAGTTTCCACTCCCCCTTTTTCTCCCACTCCCCTCTCTTCCCATCTGTTCCTCGGAGAGGGTAAGTCTACTCAGTCTGTCCCATCATCTAGCTGAGGCAGGACAAAGGCACCTTTCCATACCCACACCCCTGTGTCTAGGCTGGGCAAGGTATCTCTCCTTATAGAATGGGCTCCACTAAGTCAGTTTGTACATTAGTGTTAGGTCTTGGACCCTGAACCACATCTCATACCCATGAAACACATACACACACACAACACATACCTGCACACACATAATATGTAACACACATATACACATCCATAACATATACCTATACACACATAAACATACACATACTCCCCACACACACATATATATAACAAATACAAATATAAACACACATACATATATACATGCATACACATGTACACATACATGCACGCATTCACACACATACACAAACATACATATACCTACACACACACACCCCTTCTTACAGCACATGCTACATAGGTGACCTGCTCTGAATCACATCCCTTACCCATGAAAGATACACACACACATTCTGTTTTGAGGCAGGATCTCACTTTGTAGCCCGACTGGCTTGGAATTCACTGCATAGATACCAAGCTGGCTACAGATTCATAGAGATCCACCTGCCTTTACCTTCTAAGAATGCTGGAAGACCAATAGAATAAATTCTCTTAACACTCTCTAGACAAAAAAGTTAATTTATGTACTGAGAAATTAGTGAAGCTACACAGAAAAAAGGTATGGTCCTTAAAATGGCCCCGAAATTGTCACAAAGCAGCCCACCAACATGTATCACTTGTGAAGATGTGTGTAATTAAGTAGTAGAGCAAGTGTCAGAGCCTCCTTTTATGCATTTGTGTTTAGGGTTTTTGTTTTGTTTTAAGCTATGCGACTTGTGATTAGCTTGGTTCTTACACTAACCTGGGCAATGTTGTTGTGTCTTCTCTATCAGGGGCCAGAATTGCCAGCAGAGCTGGGCACAACCAGCGTATTTTTGTAGCAGAATTTCGACCAGATTCAGATACCCAGTTTGTCTCTGTGGGTATAAAGCACGTGAAGTTCTGGACCCTGGCAGGAAGGGCTCTTCTCAGCAAAAAGGGACTTCTGAGCACACTGGAGGATGCCCGGATGCAGACGATGCTTGCTGTTGCATTTGGTGCAGTATGTCTGTTAAAATGCTGTGTGATGGTGTGTCTTGAAGTTTTCTTGCTGCATATTCATAAGCAGCATTAATACTGACTAGGAACTGTAGCCTGACAGTCAGTGCAAGTCCTGATCAAGGATATGTCATCTTTGAAAAGCGTAGTCCTTTTAAACGTTAAGGAGTGGCAAAGAAAAGTGAATGAGATAATTACTGTAGAACTTTTGCGTCCTTGGAACATTACCGTCTCCAGGCTTTATTAGTCACGTACTTGTCGCCCTCCGCAAGCCGCAGTCTCAGTCATGCTCCTGCTTCGCCATGCACCTGACATCCTAGTCAAAGAAAAGGAATCATGAAAACAGTGTTCCAGTGCCTTCAGGGCAGACTTGGGTTTAGCATTCCTTTGCTTTCTGTCACCAGAACCACTGTCCATGTGGTAGTTGGAAGGACTCAGGGCCAATGTCTGATTCAGGGAGCAGAGAGCTGAGAGCAGAGAACACAGTCCCAAAGCTCAGTGGAGTGTCAAGGGCCACTTGCTGTCTCTCATTCCATCCTCCTGGGTCTGCAGCTCATAATCACATCTCTCTTCCTTTAGTACCCTGCCCTGGCGAGGCTTTTCAAATTCCACAGAAAATTAAGTAATTTTTTTAAAAATGTGTTTCTTTCTTAAAGTACATATTATAAAATAGACACTATATATTTTAAGAAAGTTACAAGTTTAGAACAGTGGAATACACTTACATTTAAAAAATGACTAACAATATCAAACAAACAGAACCTTTTGTTTATTAATATAACAGCAGCCACTTGTTTCCAGAAGGAAACCCCCACTGGAATGACCTTGGCACTTGATCTATCCATGCAGATGAACTTTCTTTATGCACAAAATTACTTTATAGCCAGGCACCCATTCTTGGTATAAGTAAATAAATATATAGTAAATAGCTATTGCAGGAGAAAAGTCGCTTTTTAATGTGTGAAGCAGCAGTGTGGCCAGAATGCTTGCTTACAGGATAGGTTTACGTTCGGTTTAAGCATTTTTCAAATCTATAACTGGCACATGAAAGCAGAAAGCTGCACACACATTTACAGGAGGTCATGTGGTTCCATGCTAGAGACTGGGGAAGAGAACAGGAGGAAAGGATGCTGGCGTTCGCAGCTGAAGCACGCTCTAGCTGCAGAGAGGCGTCAAGAAGCCACCCTCCTGGATGTGCAGGCGTTAGTGAGGCCTCTTCACTTCGCTAGTGAGAATAGACCTACTTTCTATGACAACATTCTGTACCAAACTCAGTTGTTTTCACTCCCTACCCCTCACCACCCCTTGCTTTTGTTCCTAGTGTTCAGTGACCTTGGATTTGTTCTTAGACAGCTAGAGGGCACAGGTTCAGAGGACAGTGTAAGCTAGAGCTACAGTATGTTAGGAAATGTCTGTCCAAGGCTAGCCCCACTAACAAAGGGCAGAGTTGGGAGGAAACCCTAAGGGAACTAAGTGTCACTCAGCTTCCTGCCCGGGGTCCAGTGTTGGCCACCACACTTCGCATGTGCTTTGTCAAAGCAGGTGAAATAGCATTCCGCGCACATAGAGGATGACATCTGTTCGACCTCTCTTTGAACTTTTGATGAGTCTGTCTCCCCCTTCCCCACTCCTTTTCAGAATAACTTGACGTTTACAGGTACCATCAGTGGTGATGTCTGTGTGTGGAAAGAGCACATGTTGTGTAGAGTGGTGGCTAGAGCGCACAATGGGCCTGTCTTTGCCATGTATACCACCCTGCGAGATGGACTGATCGTGACTGGCGGCAAGGAAAGGCCGTGAGTCCTCTTCATAGCTCACTATTTATGCATCTGTGATCTACAGTTAGGTGTTCTGGCCTCTTCTAGGCTGTGCACGTTAACTAGTCATTTACTTCTCCTTTGTTGCTATTTATGTGTGATTTTTGGACTCTCTGAATTCTTGTCTGAAATCATGTTTTTGCATTTTAATTCTCACTTAGGCTTTACATTTATTTTGCGGGGTGGGGGGATGGGGATGGAGGAAGGTATGTGTCCAGCACATGTGTAGAAATCAGAAGACAACCTGTGGAAATGACTTCTCTCCTACCATGTGCATCCCAGGGGTCAAACTCAGATCATCAGGCTTGGAGTGTCCTTACCCACTGTGGCATCTTACCAGCTCCCTTTTGGACCTTTTAGATAAACCTGAACCACAGCCAGAGTGTCACTTGTCTGAGATAGTCATAGGCAGCTGGGCTTCTCATTAAGAGTGGTATCCCTAATCCTTGTGCGACTAGCATCAGTATTGCTGATAGGACATGAAGGGAAACCTGTACTCAGGAACCCAGGTTGCATCTTTATTCCCTGTTGTCTCCCTATAAGGCTCCAAGTCATATGAGAGAGGAATGAGAGGGTGCTAGACACAGCCTTGCCAAATCATTGTCTGAGTTACTTTCAAATATCCAAACAGTAACCAGATACTTAAAATGGATCTCTGGGCGGAGGTGAGGGCTCAGTGAGTACAAGTGCTCGGTTTTTTTTTTTTTTTTTTTTTTTTTTGATGACCTGAGGACCATCCCCAAACCCACAGAAGCTGGACAAGCCAGACCAAATAGCACAAACATTTATAATTCCAGCACGTTCCCACATGAGATGCCCATCCAGCTAGTTTGGATGAACTACAAAGGAAGCCTGTCTGAAACATGATGGAAAGACAAGGACTGATACCAGGTGGAAATGCACAGTGGTCTGTGACCACATATACACACACACACACACACACACACACACACATCCACACACACACAAAGTAAAATATTTTTTATTTTATTATTGCTCAGCAGTTATTAGCACGTACAGCTCTTGCAGGGACCTGAGTTCAGTTCACAGCACTCATGCTGGGCAGCTCAGAACCTCCTGTAACTCCAGCTTCAAAGGATCCAATGCCTTCTTCTGGACTCTGAGGGCACCTACGCTCATACATGCAGACTCCCACACAGACACGTATGCACATAATTTTAAAAATTATAATAAATCTCTTAAAAAATCAAATTAAGGCTGGGTGGGGTGACACACCTTTAATCCCAGCACCTGGGAAGCAGTAGCAGGCATGTCTAGGCCAGCCTTTCTGCAGGCTAGGGAGTAAGATTGCCTCAACCCCCATGCTCCACCTCCCCTCAAAAAAAAACCCAGATAAAAACCATTTGCCACAGGGTAGTCATGTGTAAATTAAAAAGGGACATACATTAAGTAAGAAGTGCAGTTCTTTCACTACAGACTGAAGCCCACAATTATCAACTGAACACTAATGGTCAAGCTGTTTCTCTAATGACATGTGCGTTCTTTTTTTCTTTTTTTTGTTTTTTGAGACAGGGTTTCTCTGTGGCTTTAGAGGCTGTCCTGGAACTAGCTCTTGTAGACCAGGCTGGTCTCGAACTCACAGAGATCTGCCTGTCTCTGCCTCTGAGTGCTGGGATTAAAGGCATGTGCCATGTGTTTTCTCTTAAGGCAAGCAAAATGAGGGAATTCATTTTCCGTCTTTTCAAGAGAAAAATCCACAAATGGCTCTATTTTGTCCTTTATATATTACTCCAAACACAAGTATTTCCCATACCATCTCATTTTGCACATATTTCCTCACTAACAGCCTGCTTATGTTGTTTCAGCAGGATATTTTAATAATTGCAGAAATGCGCTGCCCTTTGGCCCTTAAAAGTAAATTTTACAGCATAGCATCTATAATCCTCTTTCTTGCTTTGCAAGAGAGTTGCCTTTCTAATGTTAAAAATGGTTTTGTGGGGCTGGAGAAATGGCTCAGAGGTTAAAAGCACTGACTGCTCTTCCAGAGGTTCTGAGTTCAATTCCCAGCAACCACATGGTGGCTCTCAACCATCCATAATGAGATCTGGTGCCCTCTTCTGGAGTGCAGACATACATGGAGGCAGGATGTTGTATTCATAATAAATAAATCTTAAAAATGGTTTTGTGGACCAGGCATGAAATCAGAAGCCAGAGGCAGGTAGATCTTTGTGAAGCTAGCCTGATCTACAAAGCTAGTTCCAGGACAACTAGGACTGCTACATAGAGAAACCCTATCTCAAAAAAAGGGTGCGGGGGAGGAAGGAAAAAAAAAGTTTTGTAGGGCTGATGTGATGGCTTAGCAGGTTAAGACATTTGCCATGAATGAACACCTGGGGAAGGGACAACAGATTCCAGCGTTGTTGTCTGACCACACCATGGTATGTGTGCACACATACACAATGTCTGAAAACAAAACAATCCTGTTCTGTGCATTTTCTTAATAGACAGCTATTATGAGACATTTTTATATGGTGGGCTACATAAAATTATGCTTGTGTCAGAATAAGATGACTATTTCACAAAATAAAATTTAACTGAAAGTAATTTTGACTAAGACACAGTATGTCCTTAAATTGCCTGAACATTTAAATACTAGAAATTATAAATAGGGTGTTTAACTATTCTGGCAACTCAGTATTTGAAATGAAAGTTATTGTAGTAGTTAATTATACTTATTTGTGTTTTGTTTTCATTTACCTAGGTCAAAGGAAGGAGGTGCAGTTAAACTGTGGGACCAGGAACTGAGACGATGCCGGGCCTTCAGGCTTGAGACAGGACAAGTCACAGATTGTGTTCGGTCTGTGTGCAGAGGCAAAGTAAGGTGTTCCTTGAGCCAGTGTGTTGCAGCAGCAAATAGAGCAGCTGTGCTGTGACCCCTGCACTTTGTGACCTGATAAGCAATACTTAGTGATACCATAGGGTGCTGTTATTTCTACTGTTTACTAATACAGAAAGCTTGTGTCTAAACACTATTTAAACCTCTGTATTGTCTTGAATCTTCTGATTGAATTATGGTAAGATAGGCTTGGAAATCCTCACCAACGACTCATTTTTATTAGAGCAGTTCTCTTCATGTCTCCAGCAACAGAAGATTTCCACAGTAGTAGGGGCCGTCGTCTGAGGAGTTTCTCTCTCAGGGACCTCTACTCACATATGACTAGGATCTTGATGTGTAATACAGAAAAGAATGCCTGGGCAAGCCAGAATGAATGAAGTAGAGAAAGGGGTTGGCCGGGCACAGGAGGTCTTAAGTTTTGGGTTTATTTTTTCAGTATATTACATAAAGGTTGTAACTTAAAGCCAGGTTCAAGGTTAAGCAGGACTTGTTGCTTTAAGATATGTTTGTTCTGTGTGTATGGGTGTTGTAACTACCTACATATGTATCTGTGTACTGTATGCATGCCTTGTGTCCACTGAAGCCTGAAGTGGGCATCAGATCCTCTGGAGCTATAGTTACAGATGGCTGTGAGCTATGGAGTCCAACTCAGGGCCTCTGCAAGAGCAGCAACTGCTCTAAAGTGCTCAACTAAATATCTCTAGCCCCTTAAGCAAATTTTTAAAATTGTAACTTGTAAGATGAGCTGGTTTACTTATTAAACAATTTCCCTTTGTAAGTGAGATTGTAAGGTGGCTTATGAAATGCATTGTTTATGAGTGAGGGTTGGATGCTGATGACACTAAACTCCAAGGTCACCATGTTGTGGTCCTGCCTCAGCCTCCTGAGTGCTGGGATTACAGGTGTGCACCACCACCCTCAACTCAGCTGTTGCTCACTGTGAGTTCAGCTGTCTCTCAGAAAACGGGTGGTTGTTTCTTTTTAGAAAGTCTTATTAGTCAGACACTGCCTTTAATCCCAGCACTTGGGAGGCAGAGGAAGGCTGATCTCTTGAGTTCGAAGACAGCCTGGTCTATAGAGTGAGTTCTGTGGACAGCCAGAGCTACACAGAGAAACCCTGTCTCGAAAAACAAAACAAAACAAACACCAACAAAAACAACAAACAAACAAAAAAAGAAAATAAAGTCTTCTTGATAGTTTGGGGTGGGGGTTGTTTTTGCTGATTTGCAGTCAGAAGGGCCTTTTTTCTTTCAGTGTCCCTTTAGTTTTCCCTATTCTTCTTCCTTTAAAAACCTCATACATGTCTCTAAAAACTGTTATGCATTTGCACTGTATGTCTATAAGTCAAATGCATGTGTTGTCCTGTCAGTACACTTAAGTTCTAGTTATGTTTGCTTTAATCTTTCTTCTTCTGTTAAGACAAGTTCTGCTATGTAGCCCAGGCTGGCCTGGAACTTGCAGTTATCTGTCTCAGCCTGCCAAGTAAACAGGTGTGCCACCAAGTTTACTTACTTTTTAACAAAATGAATTCTAATTTTTTCTCTCTGTCTCAATGCATTTATTTCCCATTTTGGAGATCCTAACATTATCACAGTCAAAGCTAAAACTCTTGATTATTGAAGCGTATAGATGCATCATCGGTAGAGAGTTGTCTCTAGCACAGACTCTATCGTGCAGCAGCCCAGGGATGTTACCGTTGTGTGTCCCTAGGAAGAGAAACATTTGCATGAGCTAATGATTGCCTTGCAACTAGATTAGTTCAAAGCATGTACCTGTTGTATCACATTAAGTGTATTGGTCCCTTTGTGTTTCAGGGCAAGATACTAGTTGGCACAAGGAATGCTGAGATAATTGAAGTTGGAGAGAAAAATGCAGCATGTAACGTTTTAGTTAATGGCCATGTGGATGGGCCAATCTGGGGACTAGCAACACATCCTTCCAGGGATTTTTTCCTTTCTGCTGCAGAAGATGGGACAGTGAGACTCTGGGATATTGCTGATAAAGTAGGTACAAACACTTAAATGAGAGGTTACAGGTTTTAAGGAATGGGAATCCTTAACTTCTACCTTTAATTTGGTATTATTTTGAGGTTTGGGGAAAATTGGTTTCAATTGTAAATGTCTCCTCGATTCTTGCTTCTTATGTAGAAGATGCTAAACAAAGTGAATTTGGGACATGCTGCTCGGACAGTGTGTTACAGCCCGGAAGGTGACATGGTGGCTATTGGAATGAAAAATGGAGAATTTATTATATTACTTGTGAGTTCTCTGAAAATATGGGGAAAGAAGAGAGACAGGCGATGTGCAATCCATGATATCAGGTTAGTCAATGGATGGAATAGATTTTCTAGTTGATTTTTACGATGACAAGCATGAACTTGAAAAAAAATACCATCATCCAGAATAGGTCTTGACAGGCAAATCCCCTATTTATTTTTGCAGTATGGGGGATCATACCTATGACCTCATGCCTTTGAGGCAAAGGCTTTATCTCTTGATCTAAATCCTAGTGCCTATACATTTGTATCAGATGTATACTGGTGTGGTTATGTTTAAATTCTCCTTGCTAAGTAAAATTCTACTACTACTAGTCATGCACAGTAAATTCACTTTGCTGAGCCATCCAGAAGTTTGACAAATAGGGTTAAAATACCTTTGCTTAATCTCAGCAAGACTTCAATTGTGGCCCTCCTTCCCATAGGCTTCTCCTGACTGTCCTTTACATGCCTTTCCAGTTCATTCATTCAGCCAATACTCACTAAAGGTCTATTTCCCAGAATTCAAATGAATCAAAACCTGTTTTGAAAGATTACATTTGCTATGTATGTATGCACATACCACAGGGTGCACAAATGGTGGTCAGAGACAACTAGCAGAAGTTGGTTCTCTCCTTCCATCATGAGTGTCCCACGGATTGAACTCAGGCTGTCAGGCTTGACATGAGGAGACTTTACCTATTAAGTGGTCTCTGTGGCCTTTAACTCTTTCTTGATCCTTTGTCTCTTAGTGCTTAAACTAATTTTCACAGAATTCTCTATGAATTGATAAGATTATTGGGTCCAGGTCTGTCAAAACGGGTGTTTTCAGCTGTAAAGTCCTTTAATAAAAAATCTCAAGGCTTTCCTTCACCTCTACATGTCTCCACTGTTGTTACTCAGCAGGACTCATGGGACATTTTTCAAAACTCAGTTTATCCCCTACTGCTTCCCATGACTGACAGAGGAGAACCTTTGTGATTTGTCTTTTAACAAACATTCTCCCAGCTTGAAGTTGTCATTTCACCCTAATGGTTCAAGTGAGCTAATTTGGCTGTATTTGGATATTAAGACATCATTTTCCATCTTATGAAGTATGTTAATTTGGGGGGGGTTCAAGACAGGGTTTCTCTGTGTAGCTCTGTAGACCAGGCTGGCCTTGTACTCACAGAGATCCCGCCTATCTCTGTCAACATAGTGCTGGGATTAAAGGCATGCACCACCACCACCTGGCTCAAAGTATGTTAGTGTAACAATTCTGGAATGTTAATTTTTAGTTATTTTGAAGCCAGTTGTGGTGGTGCACACCTTTAACTATAGTATTTGGGTGGCAGAGGCAAGTGGCTCTCTGAATTTGAGGTTAGGCCTTGTCTATAGAACAAGTTCCAGAACAGCCGGGGCTACTTAGAGAAACTCTGTCTCAAAACAATAAAACAAAACCAAAGCAAGCAAATGTTATTTTAAAATTAGAATTGGAAGACAAGAGATATTTTATAAGCAAAATGTAAAAACCTTTACTAAATGTTAATAGACAAATACAGTCTGTGTGCTTGCTTAGTTAGGTAACTTAAAGCCATATCAAACACCAACTGATTTTCAGGTGCTATATTAAGTCCCTGACCTTAAAAATAGTTAAACAATTGCATGCATGGGACCTAATACTTTTCTTTTTTTTTTTTAACATTTTATGTATTCAGATTTAGTCCAGATTCCCGGTATTTGGCAGTGGGTTCTAGTGAGAACTCAGTGGACTTTTATGACCTAACATTGGGTCCCACCCTTAACAGAATCAGCTACTGCAAAGACATTCCAAGTTTTGTCATTCAAATGGACTTCTCTGCAGATAGCAGACATCTCCAGGTACAGCACCAATACCACACCCAGTTTATACAGATGCTTGCTTGTACATTGTAGTGGATACATTAAAAGTCCCAGGGATTACACCTAACTCACTGATCTGTTTTTTTTTTTCCTGTACTTATTCTGTATCCTACTCTTCGTGAAATTAAACTTTACCATTTATGATGTGTACACGTTAGAGATTATATTATCATGCCCATTATCTCAGAAAAGATTCTGTGTCAAGTGTTTAGAATCGCATCATTCCGCAAGAGTCTCAAATATTGTAGATGACCTCTAGTGTTTATTGCTATACATTAGACCTTGGTATCTGCTCATTTTAGACCTGCTATTCTCACCTACATCTCAATACCTTTCCTCCACATTTTGTTGTAATTTTTGCATCCTCAAGACACAAGATATCTACTAATAATGGATTTGTCCTCATTTTGGGAACAGGTTTCTAGTGGCTGCTATAAACGGCATGTCTATGAAGTGCCTTCAGGAAAACACCTTGTGGATCATGCTGCCATTGACAGGATCACGTGGGCTACTTGGACTAGGTAAACATTTCATTCATGACTTTTGAGGATAGAAAAGTTGGGAAATATGAACTGGGAATGTGGCAGAATGCTTTTCTAGCATGAACAAGGCCACATTTGAGCAGAAAGCAGGAAAACAGCTGAAGCATGCTTGCCCATCTCCTGTTGTCCTAGCATGTGGGAGCAGAGAACTGATTCAAGTTCAAGGCAAGCTTGGTCTACATAGCAAAACTTGAAGCTAGGCAGGGATATATGGCAAGGCCATCTCAAAATACTGACGTAGAAAACGCCTATTTTTGAAGTTATTCCACAAGGGAATACATGATTTTGTTATCCTAGCTTGATTCTTAAACAGATGGTATGTTGGCTTTGGAACCTCTTCTGATTAAACACTGTCCTACATTTGATCAGTTTCCATGAAAAGATTTAGTGTATTTTTTAAATGTCATGGCATTTTTCTTAAATGGTAACAGCAATGAAACAGCTGTTGAGGTCAGGTGTGGTAATGCACATCTTTAGCCCAGCACTTGGAAGGCAGAGGCAATTGTTACTTTTTAAAAATATGGCTAAAGTGTCTGTGCTTTCTGTGGTGCATTTGCTTTTCCCCTCTAGTATTCTGGGCGATGAAGTTATGGGAATCTGGTCCAGACATGCTGAGAAAGCAGATGTCACCTGTGCCTGTGTATCTCATTCAGGAATCAGTCTTGTGACAGGAGACGACTTTGGCATGGTTAAGTTATATGATTTTCCATGCCCAGAAAAATTTGTAAGTCTAATATTTTGTATTACTTTAGTTGAATGCTAAATGATTCATCTTTTTCCCCACATATTTAAAATATTATGACCCTCATATAAAAATACTGTAGTTAAAACTTTATTTCTAAAGATTTTCTCAACACCCAAAGTAAAAGCTATCAAAGACAAATCTTCCAGGGCAGGTGTGGTGATGCCCACCTTTGATTCCAGTACTCCAGAGGCACTGGCAGATTTCTAAATTCAAGGATAGCTTGGTCTACAGAGTAAGACCCTGTTTCAAAAAACAACTCTTTGCTACAGTTTTGGAAACTTGTAGGCAAGTTCTGATGAGCTTTTAAAAACCAAACCTACAGTCAATTACTAAGTTCTACCCCATACCCCTGTCCCGCCCTTTGTGCAGAGAAAAGCTTCCATGGTCCTGAAGATATGACCTAGTTTGTTGCACATAGACCTGTAAAACTCTTTACAGTAATTGCTGGGGGTCTACCTCCCTATTCTTGTGATAAATTATGAGAACCTTTGTTTCTGTTTTAGGCAAAGCACAAGAGGTTCTTGGGTCATTCCCCTCATGTGACAAATATTCGATTTACTAGTGGTGATCGACATGTTGTTAGTGCTGGAGGCGATGACTGCAGGTCAGTAGTTTGTCAGTCCAGGAAGAGCACAACCACCTTGTTACTGGTAAAGACTTAATAATAATAACTCTATATAGCTTCAGTAATGAACACAGCCAGCAGTTATCAGATGGTAACACAACCAGTGACTCCAAAGCCATTAAATTACATGTGATTGAAAGTAGGCAAAAATCTGAAAATCTAGAATGTGATGAACTCCTTGTCACTTTTTTTTCTGATTGCAGTTTGTTTGTCTGGAAATGTGTACACATGCCTCACTGAACTGCCCTGTGATGCTGAGAAGACTAAACAAAGCTCACCTCAAGAGACCAGTTCTGTAACAAAAACCAAAACCAAACTCTGCATGGTCCAGTGGTGCTAACTGAAGACTGTGGCAGGGAAGGATGCGCAGAATCGATCACACAGCAGAAGACTGAGAGTTCCAAATGCTTGCTACATGTACCAACCCATACTCTGTACACTGCCAGATAATTACACTGCAAGGAACGGCTCAATTATTTGACAAAAAGTCATCCTCCTCTGTAATTTTGACAGACTTGCCTAGGGTATAGCTGTCTTTAAAGAAAAAAAAAAAAAAAAGGGCCAGGCGTTGGTGGTGCACACCTTTAATCCTAGCACTTGGAAGGCAGAGGCAGGAAGATCTCTGTGAGTTTGAGGCCAGCCTGGTCTACAGAGCTAGTTCCAGGACAGGTTCCAAAGCTACACAGAGAAACCATGTCTTGAAAAACCAAAAAGAAAATAAAAAAATGGAAATTTTTTCTCATTTCTAACATTTCTTTAGTGAAATATTTCACCCTTATACAAGGAAAGTAATAAGCAACCATCACCCTAAAGTGTCAGTTTTCAAAATGCAAACATTTTTCTTAAGGAAACTTACACAAGCTTTCCTGGAGAGTATTTCTTAAACATTAGTTTAGTCCCCTCTGCAAAGGACATTTCTCTTTACAGTCTGAACAGATCCAAAGTCTGCAGCATATGCAGACTACATTTTCACTGTTGAGCTGTCAATCTTTGTGTTTCAAAGCCATCTCTATAAAATGATGAATCACAGTTATGGCCTCATTAATAGGAAAGTGATATAATGAACATTCATTTCCAAGTGTACAGTTTTTTAAGGTTCTGTGATAGCAATAGCTCTTAACTGAAAGATAATATCGCATATTTAAAGGTATGATCTAATAAACATTTGTTTATTGTGTAAACAAAAGCATTAAATTCATAATACTAGTAACACTGGGTAAAAAATTTTATAGTTTTGTATTGAGAAAAAATGTTTAACTAGATGTATGCCACCCTATAAGGCTGTTTTCCAAAATGAATGACTCCAGGTTCTCCTGAAGAAGTCAGAATCCTTCCACTTTAATGCTGCCAAAGATTGGGACCTACCGCCCAGGACTTGCTGTTTAGCCTCGCTAGTTCCTCAAGATGAAAAATCCAGTAGACTGCTGTGTAAACATTATTTTTCTACATGTGAAGAGGATGCTCTACTGGGTATTTCCATTTTTTTATTTTATTGTGTGAATTATTTATTGTGTAGCATAGATCCTCCCCGTCAGGCTTCTGGAATCCTGTTTGGTTTGTTATGTTTTCTATGGCTAAAACATTGTGACTATTAAAACCAGAATGAACACTTTGCATCAAAGAACTTTTGTCTTTGGTTGGTTTTAAAGGTTAAGGCTGATGAAGAGACTGCAAGAAACTTAAAGCACAAGGTAGTTCTTCCATTGCTCACGCCAAATGGTCCATCTAAGTTAGGCCAAGTTTTAGAATGCATTAACATTATATAAAATGGCAGTCAATAAATTAAAGAATTCCTATAAAAGGAAAAATGCTTCAAATTTAAGCATGGTATATAGTTCTAAGGTTTCCCCTCTGGACAGCTTGGCAGCTTTTAGTTATAGAAAAATTTCAGTTCTGTAAAAGTCCACAATGTTAAGCAAGTAAACTATTAAAGAAAAAACTGCTTGCTTCCAACTGTATTTTCGTCCCCCAAAGTGGCCAACCTGGTCAGTCAGTGTTTATCATGGTAGCAGTCAGTTCCATGACCAAAGGTCAGGCTGACTTCTAAGTAGTCATCATATGGCTACCTGGCTGGATCAACCACCAACTGTGAAAAGGGTGACAAATCGTAGAATCTGCCCTATAGTTTTTATATCCAGAGAATTATGGTGTGTACCTGCACTATCTGAATTTATAGCCCAAGATTGCCATCAGTTACTGTCACCCCACTTGTTTCCTGTGTAAATACATGTCAAAGCATGCAGTACACTCTGGAACTCTGCATCATCATCAGCGGTGTTATTCCTTTCTCTGTGAGGCTTCTTACACAGTTTCATTTAGAACAAGTAGCCCAGTAATTGTTTTAGGGTCAGAGTAAGCCTGTCTATTAAACCACAGAATTGAACAACAAACCATTTAAATGCTAAGGCATGTAGCTCAGTTGGTAGAGTGCTTACCTAGAATTTGTAAAGCCCTGGACTAATCCCTAGCACCACATATAAATGGGCATGCCTATAATCCCAGGTACAAGCACAGAATAAGAAATTCAAAGTCATTCTTGGCTACATAGTGTGTTTGAGGCTAGCCTGCAGCTTGTGAGCCCTTACCTTAAAAAAACCAAACACATTGTAAGTGTATTCATAATCACTGTCTATTCAATAACAGAAAATAATTTATTTGTCACATGTTCTTTTCTTATAAAAAACTAAATCATTTTAAGTCCCTGTTCCTCGTTTCTGGTCCTTACTGGACAGTTATGAGAAGATATCTACACACATTATTAGGAAGTGATATTTAAAAAAGTCTAGTTCTGGAAATTCACAATTTTCAATAGAATTCTTTAGCTGAGATGCAAAGCTAGGATGAATGCCTTAAATTTAATGGAATGCACTTACAGAATGAAAAAAATGCCACTTCACCTGAACCTATGCAGCAAGCAGCTTTTAGGCGCTCTGTCCTTTTGCTGTTTCTGATCTTCTAGGATTAACAATGGTCAAGGCCGACTTATGAAGTGGTTGAAAAATTAGCTAATGCTTTTATCTCTCAATGCAAAAGCAATGACCACAGCAGTAGAAGGCTGGCTTCACAATGTTAAACACAGACTTTGGTAGATTTGACTTTATTATCCATCCTTTACGTATCTTAACAGTTTAAATTTGGTCCTAAAAGTGTTGAGCTTTTATTACCCCCTTTGCTAACCACCTCTTACACTTTAATTTTTAAAAACATCAAGTCTTTGAAATCAGTTGTCTGTTATTTAAAACATTTGACACTTCTTGCCTTAACAGTTTCAAGAACTGCATACATAAAACTCTAATACAGTGGCCAAGTTTCATCCTATTGTGATGTTTACCCATACAAGCTCTGTAATTATAGTTCTGTAATTTAAAATATGCCAGTTAAAATCTTAACTTCTACATTTCAAGAATGATCTTTAGGAGTAACTAAGTATATTTTCTGTGGAGTTATTTCTGACAATATTTTTCAGAATATGGGAATATATGTATATATTTATACTCTTGTGAGTTCATCTGTTTTCTGAAATTTTCTGTATATACCTGTAAATTTTTTGTATGACTTTGTGATAATGTAGTCTCCCCAAAATTATTTAAAATTATATGCTATTAGTAAATGGAAGTATTTCAAGGAATTGTTCATATGTTTTTGCATTTGTCATTCCAACCATGTTTACCTTAAATGACCATGTCACTACTTACTTTCACAGAAGGCAAGGGACTTCAGAGTTTACCAGAGTAACGCTTAAACCAAGAGTCTGTATTATGCTTTTCAAAGCAAATTCATTTAGACATTAAAAAGAAATTTTAAACTAGTTGTTCAAAGCTGCCTTGGTATTTTGGCCACCCCTAAGATGATGCAATATTTGTAACTGATTGTGAAAACAGTGCATCATCTTTGGGAAAGTGATTCAGCTATGAGGACAATGGCCTTCACACAGCGTTGTAGCCCTAAGCTGCAGTACCATCACCAAAAATGATGTTAAACAGCAATGTACAAACATGCCGCAAATGTTTTAATAGAATTTGGCTTTTCTTTAAACTGTCTCTTTCATAGTCAAAACTGTCTTTTTCATAGTCAAAACAAACAAAAAAAATGTTGAAACCACTTAATAAACTTACAAACTTGAAAAATTAGACACTTCAGTTAGGCAATAAAATTCATATTATGAAAGCAATATATTCTAAATTTCAAAGATGTGACAAGTTCTGTAGAATATCTCTCATCAGAAGATGGAAGCATTCAAACTGCACGATCTTCTTGCCAGGTAGGACTAGGGCATCATTCGCTGAGTAAATAAAACCAAAAGTTTTTTTAATTACTGCAGTGCATATAAATACAAAACTTAGCTTCTTGCTCAGGTGTTTGGTCTTTAAAAAATTCAATTGTGTAAAAGAGATAAAAGTTTAAAAATTATGCAATTTAACTAGTAGGCATTGTTATAATGTTCTGAAACTTCAGTATTTTGCCATCACTAAAATCTAACAAAACTGTGTAGGCCAGAGGACAACCTCAATGTCATCCTCATAAATACTACCCACCATTCTTTTAAATTCGGTGTCTCTAGTGGCAGACTGGACTGGTTGGCCAGCAAACCCCAAGGATCTGCCTCCTCTATCTGTCTTCCCATTTCTGGGATTACAGGTGCATGCTACCATGTCCCACGTTTTTACACGGGTTCTAGAGATCAAATTCTTTATAGACTAGGCAGTCTCCCTGGCCCTGATCTGAGACTGTTGAGCAGTATGTTAAAATACATACACACAGGCAATCTGCTGGCTTAGGTGTTTTGTTTGTATTGTTGATACTCAGAAGTTAGAGGGGCGGAAAGCTGGAGAGTTCAGTGGCTTATTCATTATGCTCTGCTCTGGATTCAAAAACAGAACTCATCTGGAGATGATGTCAGTTAAACAAAGTCATCACTGGGCAAATGCAGTTCATGTTAAATCATTTTTGCTAAAAGTTCCTTCTTTAATTTTAAAAGCACAAGGAGATAAAAATTCAATTTCCCTTTCCCAATTACAATAGAATGTAATTCCAAATGACATTAGAATTAGAAAAGCTAACTTAAATCCTCACCTAGTCTGAGGTCGAATCCATTTCAAGGCATGTCTTGGTGGTACAGTAATAGTGGGGTGATAAAACGTGCAGTCTGGTCTTGTACACTGAGTATTAAACCTACAGTGCTAAACAGAAAAAAGAGGAGCAAAACTTCACAAAATCCGCAAGGTAATACAGGCATATATACACCTGAGAGAAACAAAAGCAGTCCACTGTAACTAAACCAACAGATATGGTATTGTCCATTGACACTAAATCTATGCAGCATCAGCAGGATACCTGCTACCATGTGCATAAACCCACACATACACAAAAATAAAATGGATACAAAAGAGAAATGCAAACACCAGAATGACAGATTAGCACTAAAACCAGTTTGGAAAGTAAAGTTTCTTACTTTGGGGTGGTAGAAGGGACATTCCATTTTCTTACAAGCTGGGAAGTAACGGCACAGCTGACCATTAGAAGATGGTGCTGGTGATGAGACCACTGACAAGAATCAGAATGAAGAATGGTCAAATCTATGTGGCAGTGTCATTTTCTAAAGTAGTCCACTGGTGTTTGTAAAGAGGTGAGACTCAATTTACAACAAGTTTATCATTCAAGATAAAATGGCAGAGTTCTAGAAGAAGGGCAGATTTGTTGTTTAAATGCTAAGTTCATTTCTAAAACCACCCTTTTGTTGTTTTGTTCCACTTAAGAGCCAGAAAAATATCATTTTCTATTTTTTCACCCAAATACAACAGTGCACAAAGTCACTAACCTGGTTTTGAGGCCAGTACTGGAATTCTTCTACTCATGTGAGTGAAGGGACAATCTGGTTTAGTACACTTTGCATCATATTTACAGTTTGGATGCACAAACAAACATTTTTCAGCAAATTTACAATTGGGAAAGGCTCTACAAAACAAAAACAGTTTATTATTCATAGTTAACATTCTCAATGATATTAGCTTTTCTGTAGAGGACTTCACAAACACCATACATGGCTGGAAAGATAGCTCAGCAGTTACAAGTACTTCCTGCTCTTCTAGAGGACCTGAGTTCAGTTCCCAGCACCAACGCTATTGCCTGTAACTCCAGCTCCAGGGTATCCAATGCCCTCTTCTGGCCTGTGGAGGCATCTGCACATATGTGGTATCCAGTCTGTCTGTCTGACATACACACACAGAAATCATGAACTAGGAACGTAGTTCAGTGGAGAGCACTTGTAATATTCATGAGGCTCTGGTTTCAATCCTCTGTGGTGGGGAGGCAATTAGTATTTTTTCAAATGAAGCTAAATACCAAAATAGAACACAACTGCATTTCAACTCTAGAGGAACTCTTCCATGTTATAACTCAAAGCAAGACATCATAGAAGTTTTGTGTAATTCCATCTTAACAGAATATCCAAATCTTACTTTTTATTTCTGAATTTCATTTTTTAAATATTATATTTTTATTTTATGTGCATTGATGTTTTGCCTGCATGTATGTCTGTGTGAGAGTGTCAGATCTCTTGACATTAAAAGTTACAGACAGTTGTGTGTGCTGCCAAGTGGTTACTGGGAATTGAACCTGGGT